AAAAAAAAAAAAAAACTTGTATAAGCTAGAATTTCAATTGTTTGAACTATAAACCTTACAAGATTTTTTCTCTTTAATTAAAAATTAACTGGAAATTATTTTGTTTCAGCTACTAAAAACATACATAAAAGCTGGGTGTGGTGCTATATTCCTGTGATCTCGGTATCTGAGGGCAGGAAAAGTACAGGTTTTGAGCCCGTTTGGACTATATAGTGGCACTTTGTCTCAAAATGCATACATACATAAAATACTTACAGAATACTATTTAAATGAATCTTGCCTTGATAATAATCTTGAAGTGGTTGGGGTACTTTGAATGTCAATTATTATGTATTGAAATACGTATATCTATGCTGAGTTTTTTTTCATAACTAGTACATATCCTTTAAATTTCTTTTTTATCTCATCCTTATTTGACATTAGTTTCTCTTCAAATAACTATCTGCCAAAAATGTTTAGAGCAACGTCGTTACATGTTACATGTTCTCATCTCTATCTTTATTTGGCCCATTATATTTGTAGGTGGTGATCCATGAAGACTTCATTCAGTCTTGCTTTGATCGTTTGAAAGCCTCTTATGACACATTGTGTGTTTTGGATGGTGACAAAGACAGTATTAATTGTGCAAGACAGGAAGCTGTTCGAATGGTCCGAGTATTAACTGTTCTAAGAGAATATATAAATGAATGTGACAGTGATTATCATGAAGAAAGAACAATTTTGCCTATGTCCAGGTTTGTAAATGAATAACTGATAACTTAAGATTAATTTTTAGTTGCTTGGTATTTTCCTAACCCACTTCCCTGTTTGTAAATGTGTATAAGGGAAAGAGAAGAAAGGAGATTTATCTTTTTGGAAATGTATCTTAACCTTTAAAAACATAAGTATCTTTTTTTTGTTTTTGGTTTTTCGAGACAGGGTTTCTCCGTATAGCCCTGGCTCTCCTGGATCTCACTCTGTAGACCAGGCTGGCCTCGAACTCAGAAATCTGCCTGTCTCTGCCTCCCAAGTGCTGGGATTAAAAGCGTGCGCCAACACTGCCTGGCTGAAAACATAAGTATCTTATGGAAATGTTTGCTTATTTTGTGGTAGAATAGTTCATTAGGGAACAAAGCACTCATAGGAGAAGTAGGTCAGAGCTTCTACAGCTTTTTAAAAAAGTTCGTGATTATTTTGTTTTGCTTAAATATGTTTTCACTGTGTAGCGTTCCGGATGGCTTTTTGTTTTGTTTTGTTTTTTTCCCGAGACAGAGTTTCTCTGTGTAGTCTTGGCTGTCCTGGAACTCTGTAAACCAGGCTGGCCTCGAACTCAGAAATCTGCCTGCCTCTGCCTCCCAAGTGCTCGGATTAAAGGTGTGCGCCACCACTGCCTGGCAGTTTTTATTTTCTTAATTTTCCTTTTATATAAAAAAAATACTATTTTGTGTGTGTTGCCATGCATGTGTCATGGTGCAAGATCAGAGGACAGTTTGAAGGAGTCGGTTCTTTTACCATTTGGGTCTTCAGGTTTGGTAGCAGCCCCCTTTATATACTAAGACACCTCATAAGCCCCAAGTTTCAATATAATTGTGTGTTGTATACATATTTTTATGTGTGTAAGTATACTCACCATACTCCTCCGTGGAAGTCAGCAATAGACTTTGGATGTCCTATTCTGTCACTCTCTGCCTTATTATTCCATTTAGACTGTTTTCTCAATGAGCTAGGAGCTAAACAGCCAGCAAACCCCAGTCATCATATTTTTGCAACCCACACTTTTAGAATTACAAGCACTTCTAGCTAAAAAGCAAATATAGGGGCTGGAGATTTGGACTTGGGTCCTCATGCTTTATGCTTATACACCAAGCACTCTTAACCACTGAGACATCCCTTCAGTTTCAGTTTTTATACTTGTTTATGCTATTAAATACTATAGCATGCCTTTTAGCTTAATACTCAGGAGGCATAGGCAGGGGGAACTGTTGCAAGTTTGAGACTGACTGCCCTGGTCTATATAGTAAGTTCTAGCTCAGCCAAGGCTCCGTACATTGTGAGATTCTCTTACAAAATAGAAAAACAAAAAAACTAGTGCATAGTTACTTTTTTCCTTTTTTAAGATTTAGTTTTATTTTCTGTATATGAATGTTTGCTTACATGTTTATATGTGTTCCATATGCATGTCTCATACTCTTGGAGGTCAAAAACAAGCATTAGATCTCCTGGGACTAGAGTTATAGACACTTGAGCCCTGTAAGATGAGCTGCCATAATAGGTACTAAGAACCTAACCTGGTTCCTTTGCACCCTATCTCAGTTCAGACAAAATTTGTAACAGCTTTTTTATTGATGTTCTCAAGGTAAATCTTACTGCACATTTATAAAAAGCAAGGAATAGTGATTTGGGCTTTACAAGTATAGAAGTGAATGAAATGTTCCTACTATGTCTGTGTCTTAGTTGGGGGCTGGTTCGATATAGTGACTTGGAGTGCTCATCTTGGCCTTAAATTTATAATCCTTCCTCAGAAATTGCTGGGGTTTCTGGAATGAGGCACTATGCCTCATATTTGTATTAATTTTTCAATACATTATTTTATATGACTGTGGGCATAAAAGTTCTAATAGTAGAATATAGTCATTGTGTTTTGGATGCTGGAGTATTTATAGTTAAAAGAATAAAGAATTTTTTTTTCAGGGCACTAAAAGGTCTTCAATTCATTCTTATTTAATAAGAAAATAAGTTCCATCATTATTTTCTTGGCAGCTAAATTTGGAGATTTGCTGAATATAGTATTTTCCATTTCTTTTCCCCACCAGAGCTTTCCGTGGTAAACACCTCTCTTTTATAGTTCGATTTCCAAACCAGGGCAGACAAGTAGATGACTTGGAGGTTTGGTCTCATACAAATGATACCATTGGTTCAGTTCGACGATGTATACTCAATCGCATTAAAGCCAATGTAGCTCATACAAAAATTGAACTCTTTGTTGGTGGTGAGCTTATTGATCCTGGAGATGACAGAAAGTTGATTGGACAATTAAACCTAAAAGATAAATCAGTAAGTATACTTAACCCCTGAAAACTTTTTAAATAGAACCTCATCCTATATTTCATTGTTGAATATTTGTTATATAGATCTTAATGTCAGATGCTAGGGTTATAACACAAACTCAGACATTCATTGATACATTTAGAATATATCAAAACAAGTAGTTAGAGTACTTTTTAAATGTACTTTTGAAAATATTAACATCTAGCTTTTGTTTAATTGTTATATGTATATGGGTTTTTTGTATGCACGTAATGTGTGCACCATGTGTGTGCCTGATGCCCTTGAAAATCAGAAGAGGGCATTGGATCTCCTAGAACTGGAGTTACAAACCATTGTGAACTGCTATGTGGGTGCTAGGAATGGAACCCAGGTCCCCTACAAGAGTAGCCAGTGCTCTTAATCACTGAGCCACCTCTCCAGTCCCAACATCTAGTTTTTAAAATTCAATTGTTGATGTATTACTAGCTTCCAAGTTTTCTGTTTTCTATTGGTTTTTTCCTTGTCTTTGATTCAAACATATATCATTTTCAGCTAATTACAGCCAAACTTACACAAATAAGCTCCAATATGCCTTCAAGTCCTGATAGCTCCTCTGACTCCTCAACTGGATCTCCTGGAAACCATGGTAATCATTACAGTGATGGCCCCAATCCAGAAGTGGAAAGCTGTTTGCCTGGAGTGGTAAGTATATTCAGTTGTACAGAACATTATACTTGTTGAGAATTGTTGAGAATAGTCAATACATAAACAAGGATTTTGTTGTTGTTGAAGAATTCCTTGCTTAATGAGGTAAAATATCTACAGTTATCCTTCAACTTGAATGAAGCCCTCTGAAATGTAATTGTAACTCACTTGAAATTTAAACCAAAACCAATTACTATTTGGTTGTATTTGCATATAATTAATCTATTGGAATTTATTTATAACATTTTGGTATATGAATTTAGAAAGCTACAACTGTCTTACATATTTGTTCTGAAAAATGAATCTTTTAAAATCTTCGTATGTAGGGAAATATCTGTAATCTTTCTCATTATATCCAAAGAAAACACTGACGTCTCCTATTAGCCTCTGCTTTCACTTCATAAGAACTTTAAGGACTATAGTAACACCATCTACTCTAGTCTAAGAACAAACCGGTTAGAAATTTAGTAATGGTATGGTGGCAGTTTGACTATGTTCAGAGTCCTCTTTAAGTTATATCCAGGTGAGAAATAGTGTAATAAAACAGTCAGAAGATGACAAATATGGCTCAGATGATGTTTTAGGTTTGCACCACAAAGAATTTGTACAGGTGAGATGAGCAAGAATAACAGCAGTAACAGGAGCAAAGCGTAGAGATAAGCTTTCAGGAAGACCTTTTTTGAAGCCCAGGAGTAATTTTTCAGCTAATTATTTGTGTCTTATATTCTAGATAATGTCACTTCATCCCAGATACATCTCTTTCCTTTGGCAAGTTGCAGACTTGGGGAGCAGCCTAAATATGCCACCTCTTAGAGATGGAGCAAGAGTGCTTATGAAACTTATGCCGCCAGGTAAGATGTTTTCAATGATGACATAATGCATGCTAACAATAGAAGGTATATTAACAAATTCCTCTTCTAAATGAACCATATAGCAGTGGTTGGTAAACTACTAGCCTGTAAGCCAAAATCTCTTTACAACTTATTTTTATACAGTCCAACACTTAGAGAAAGTATCTAAATTTTTCAAGGGCTAAAATAAAATCAGAACAGTATCTGTTTGGAGTTTTGCGAGATGGCTCAATCGATAAAGGTGTGGAGTTGCAAATTTGATGAACTGTAGAAGAGAACCGACTCCCTTCAGCTGTCCTCTGACATCCATACATTTGCCATTCACTCACACATCCATACCTACAAATAAATGTAATATAATTGTTTTAAGTTTTGACACCAGATTCTGTGAAATTTTAGTATCTGTAGTCTTTTCATTTTTGCTGTCTTACAGCTACACCCATTTATTTATATATTATTTGCAAACTTTTGTTGATCAACAGCTGAGAGTTCAGTAGCAGAGACCAAGTGGCCCAAAGTCCTAAAATGTAGTATGGCCAGTTGCAGAACCTATTTGCCTGGGTCCAGTAAGATGGCTCAGTAGGTAAAGGTGCTTGCCACCAACTTTGAAGACCTGAATTTCATCCCTGAGACCCACATGGTAGAAAGAGAATGAATTCCTCCAAGTTATATTCTGACTTCACTTGGGTGCCCATGGCACAAGCACATAAACAGTTGTGCACACAAATACCAATAAAGTTGACTTCTATATGTGAACTTTGTTGTGTGTGTGTGTGTACTCACACAACTTACATGTTCTCTCTCTCTCTCTCTCACAGACACACACACACACACACACACACACTGATTAACTCAACAGTTTAAAGTCAAACTATAGTGTCCAAACAGTGAACGTTTGATTAAAGTATATATTGCTTTACTAAGCAGAATGAGTTGTTTTTCCTAAGAGCTACCTCCTTCCACAAGTTTAAAGATTATTTTTAAATATGCCAAAGTCTATTTTAAGCTCTTCATAGTCTCTCTTCTCTGTCTGTCAGTTGCACTCTCTCTGGCTTTCTTTAAGGTTTTGTTTGGTTGTTTTTTGAGTCTTGCTAAATATTCCTACTGAACCATTTCACTTAAACTCATTTCTTTTCTTCTACTTTTTTGGAAGTAGAAGATGGAATGAAGGTTCCATCCTTCAAGATTTTTGTGTTTTGTTTTGTTTTCTGAGACAGTGTGTCACTATGTAGTCCTGGATATCCTGGAACTCCAGGTTGACTTCAAACTCAGAGTTCTGCCTCTGCCTCTGCCTCTGCACTGAAATTAAAGGTTTGCACCACAGTGCAAGGCTCCTTTTTTTATAAGGTTCAGTTTCTTGAGTACTGTGATGTCTTTTGATGAAACAAACTAGGTAATCTGAATTTCATAATAAAACAGGAAATAAACTTGGAGGTAAAAACTCTTGCTGTTAGTTACACTTCCTTTGGAAGTGGGTTTTTGGGGCATTTTGTTTGTTTGTTTGTTTGTTTGTTTTGTTTTAAATCAGTCTCCAACAGCTGGATAGAGAGCATGTTGACTGGAGGCTCCTGGATGATACATAGTTCCCCTATGTTTAGGCTGGCTGATTAAATGGATCGGATTGGTGTTTTGGTTCTCTCTCATTTGTTTACTTTTAAATCAATCCAAGTATGGTCCTGTATTACAGTAGCTTAACTGAATTGTTTGCTGTTTCATGCATGCTCTTGAAAATCCTAGAAATGATATAGATGTAAATTGTGTTTTATGTCTCTCTCTTTTACAGATAGTACAACAATAGAAAAATTGAGAGCTATTTGTTTGGACCATGCCAAACTTGGAGAAAGCAGCCTTAGTCCATCTCTTGACTCACTTTTCTTTGGTCCTTCAGCCTCACAAGTGCTATACCTAACAGAGGTTAGTTTTTTTGTTTTTGTTCTTCATTTTGTTTAAATTTGATCTTTGATGTACTACTATGAAGAATGTGGGTAAGATTATTATAAGGTGATTTTGAAGTGATCAATGTCTTAGCAGTTTTGATAGTAAAATGGAGGTTATGTCTTAAATCCCTTTTAATACAGTCCTTCTCTTCTCCCTCTCTCCCTTTTATTTTCAGGTAGTCTATGCCTTGTTAATGCCTGCTGGTGCACCACTGGCTGATGATTCTTCTGATTTTCAGTTTCACTTCTTGAAAAGTGGTGGTCTGCCCCTTGTCCTGAGTATGCTAACCAGAAATAACTTCCTACCAAATGCAGATATGGAAACTCGAAGGGGTGCCTACCTCAATGCTCTTAAAATAGCCAAACTGTTACTAACTGCCATTGGCTATGGTCATATTCGTGCTGTGGCAGAAGTTGTAGAAGGCGTGAATCCTATGACATCGGTAATACAGACTTCCTTTTGGTTTCTAAAATCTTTAATAGTAGATAGTAATTTTTAAGGTTAAATGTCTCAATGATTCTAAGGTCTTGAGTTAAACTTTGACTCAGTATTGAAATTTTTTCTAGTATATGTCTTGTTAATAGAAATGTTCACTTATTACTCTATATTTGTATTAAAAGTACATACAGTCTTCACTGGCTTTGCTGCTACTAGTTTAAGAGGGCATGTCCTCCAGTTCTTTCTGGCCACCTGAGTTTTTACTTCACTCTCACTGTAAAACAAACACCATATGAATGAATTTCTAACTTGTGCCAAGCAGGTAAGATACCAGTGGTGTTAAGATTTGTAATTGACTTAGCCTTTTACCAGTTTTCTGCCCATCTTCATTGGCTTAAACTTTAATTATGAAGGCCTTGTCATTCTGTCTTTGCCTGGATTGTTATCTTTGATCCATTTTCCTTATCTCAAGATATGCTAGAGTTTAATGACAAGTTAAAGGTCAAGTTATACAAACAGTTACTGAATTACTGATGGAAGTCAAAAGATGAGGCAAGAGGATTAGAACATATTCAAGGCCAGCCTGGATAAGGGAATGAGAGACCCTCTCTTTAAAAATAAAAGTCTTAAGGAAGAAATTTTCTTTAGAAATCACTTAGGTCATATTGGGGACAAATGACATGTTGATGATGATATGTAATTGTTTCATATATATGACAATACTGAAATATTTCAAAAAAGAGCCTTTTTAAAATTGTTTCAAAATAATTCATAAATATTTTTAATTAGATTTGTTGGGGGCTTTTGTAATTTTGTTTTGTGGTTCGGGTTTGGTTTTTTTGTTTTGTTTTGTTTTTTGCCTTGAGACAGAGTTTCTCTGTTTAGCCCTGGCTTCTCCTGCATCTTGATCTATAAACCAGGCTGGCCTTGAACTCTGAACTCACAGAGGTCTACCTGCCTCTGCCTCCAAAGTGCTGGCATTAAAGTTGTACACCACCTGAAGTTTTATGATACTCAAGATTTGCCTCCTAGCAATTCAGTGGAGATGGAAAGTAAGAGGGAGTAATAATTGATAATAGTTGAGGCAGAATAAAGTAGATCTTGATCTTTTTAACAATAATTTATTTTTGTTTTATGTAGTTGTTCTGCCTGTGCTTTTGTCTGAGAGTGTCATGCCCTGAAGCTGGAATCATAGACTCCTACTGCTGAGCTGTCTCTCAAGCCCTCCATAATAATTGTATTATCTTACTTAGTCAGACCACTTTCATATGTCAGAAATTTTCTGTAAGCCAGCTAGGCATGGTGGAGGCTTATAATCTCAGGATTTGGAAAGCTAAGAGAAAAGGATTACAAATTTGAGGCCAGCCTGGGCTACATAGGACCAAAAACAAACAAAAACAAAAGGAGTGAACTTTTCCGTAAAAGATAAAAATGACTAAGATTATATATTGTTTACTGTGCTTCTTTATGATTTTTTAAGAGTAATTTTATTGGGTTAAAATGAAAGACTGATTCGTATCAGGTGTGGTAGTTCTTACCTGTTTACCTGTAATCCCAGCACTCAGAATGCCAAAGCAGGAAGGAAGCAATGACACTCCCTTACCCCCAGCTTTAACCTGAGACCTTGTATAGCACTGAACAAGGGAGGGCTCTTGTTAGGATAAAAAGATTCTTGTTTTAATCCATGACATGACTGCTTAATGAAGTGTGCAATACACACAAAAGGCAATAACATGCTTCCTCTTGTATCTTATAATACTTAGAGAACATGGTTATTTTCTAGCTGTAGATACTAAGGTATTATAATTGCGAAGTATTTGTTGTCAATTAAAAGTTAAACACAAATTTAGTAATATTAGGGATATCGTAAACATTTATAATATAGAGAAAAGTTACTGCTCAAAGATAATCAGAAGTATTCAGCTAACTACATTATCTGTTTCTCATTGATTAAAACAGTATACTAATAAGTAAAAATGTTACTATCTTTTGCATGTTTTATTTTTTATAGTTGTGATTTTTCTAATTTTCAAAGTAGAATTCAATAACTGGAGATTATGAGCAGAGTCTGCCTAAGGATAAAAGATATGATTTACTGTATCTTGACTTGAGTTTGGACTTGATGTGTTTGTAGAAACACGAGTTTGATTAATCTAGAATAGAGGATTATAAAGAAATCTGTGCCACTTGCATACCATCTTACTTAGCAGGGTGGAGTACTTTGTGTGTGAAGGTGGAAGGAAAACATCTTGGGAATGTTGATGAATGAGGTACAAATGATTGGGTCAAGTAATATACAGAATACTCAAAATGGTTAACTGTTTTTCAGGTCAACCAAGTAACTCATGATCAAGCAGTGGTGCTACAAAGTGCCCTTCAGAGCATTCCTAACCCATCATCTGAATGCATGCTTAGAAATGTGTCTGTTCGTCTTGCTCAGCAGATTTCTGATGAGGTTAGTATTGTAAGAGTTATATAGGAGAGAGGGGGGAGGGCGGGAGGGAGGGAGGGAGGGAGGGAGGGAGGGGGAGAGAGAGATTACTTACAATGTTGTACATGTCATAATTGTTACTATGTGTTTTGCCTGCATGTAATATGTCTGTGCACAGCTTGCATGCCTGATGCCCTTAGAGATCAAAAAGAGAGCATTTAGATCCTCTGGAACTGGAGCTTCCATGTGGGTGCTGAGTATTGAACCCTGGGTCTTCTGCAAGAACTGCCAATGCTCCTAATGACTGAGCTGTCTCTCTAACCCCAAAACAACTTTTTTTAAAAATTCAGTCTATATCATATTTTTTAATGCCAACTTAGAATTATTAGTACTTTACTTACTATTTATATAATAAACAGCCTTCTTTCAGAGTGTAGATACAACATTTCACACTCATACAAACAAAACACTACGCAGTAATTTTCTTGTACTTTTGGGACTACAGTCAAATCCAAGGTTTCACACCTATAGCCCTGAGACAGAATGTTTCTATAACTGTTCTTTGTGAGTTTTTTGCAGTCAATACATCCCTTCAGTTCTAATATGAGATAACCACTAAATTTTTTGTTCCCTATGAAAGTTTTCATTTTCTTGAGTATTACTCAATTGGATCGCATGCCTATAATCCAAACACTTGAGAGGCTGAAGCAGAAGGAGAGCTGGCCTGCAAGACCCAATCTCAAAAAATAAATTTAAAAAAACAACTTATTGATGACTTTGAATTGTCAATGTTCTACAGTTCAACGAATAATTTTTTTTTGTTGTTAAATATTATCCCATTCATTGTATGCTAGTCATGGTGACACATGTCTTTACTAGGACTTAGGGGACATGTGAGTTCTAGGCCTTCCTGTTCTACATAGTGAGACTGTCTGTAAAAAAAAAAAAACAGTATAGATGCATGCATATGTGTATACTCAGACACACATACACATAAGTAAATAAGTAGATAGGTCGTATATATTATAAAATAAACTATAATCCCATTATGAATATTCTGTGATTGGTTTATATATATGACAAAATATACTTGGATTTTTTCCCTTTTAGATATGAATAAAACTGCTATGAAAATTTTATACCAGTATTTGAACTTCCTATTCTCTAATACCCGCCAGTGCAATGGTTGTCGTTTCTGTGGTGGTCAACACTAATAGTCTTCTCAAAAGTTTTAATTAATCATTATTTTATAGGCTTCAAGATATATGCCTGATATTTGCGTAATTAGAGCTATACAAAAAATTATTTGGACATCAGGATGTGGGGGATTACAGCTGGTATTCAGCCCAAATGAAGAAGTCACAAAAATTTATGAGAAGGTAAGAATTGTGAAAGGAATATGCCCACTATATAAATGAATGTTAATTGCATATATGGCTACACGTCTATGCTTGTCTTTAAAAATCACTTGCATAGTTATAATTGCAGGTATACTTCAGTAATGGTTTAAAAGGTTTAGTTTTAAAACATAATTTAATCCTGCTCCGAGAATAGTTTAAAAATAAAAATGAGATTTTCCATTTCAGTGAAGTCAGACCATCTCAAAGAAGTTATATTTTCCTTTATCTTTTAGTTTTGTGTAAGTTAGGGTTCTGTCATGTATACCTTATTCCTTGGATACTGTTGCATTCTTAGAGGTTTTTTTTTTTTAGTTTTTCTTTTTTTTTTTTTTTTATGTGTATAAGTGTTTTACTATGTGTGTATATTGTGTACCCAGAATGTCTGGTTCCCTCAGAGGTCAGAAGAGGGGATTGGATCCCCTGGCACTAGAGTTAGTTATAGACAGTTGAAATCCACCATGCTGATGTTATGTATTGATCCTGGTTCCTCTGTAAGAACAAGTGCTCTTAACCTCTGAGTCAACTCTCCAGCTCACACTTCTCCATTCTTAAGAAAAACTTGTGTACTAAGGACTTCTTGCTAAGTACAGTGCCCTCATTATATTAAACACTTTGTTCTTATTACTATTTTGATGTTCTCATAGTATCTGTTTGGTATAGTATCTCTTTGGTATATTCATTTGACAAAATGAATGAAAGCCTATTTTAGTCACATTAAAGTTACAGCATATTTGGGGATAGGAAAAATTTTTAAAGCCTTACTGAGCAGTTGTTCAAGGAGATTGGGTTTTTTTTTTTAATTAAATAGCACAATAACATACCTACTTATTGTGCCAGAGTGGTTCATAAAGAAGGAATGGTTGGTTGTTGGTTCAGAAGGTCTCTAGGAGCTTCTTAACTACAAAGTGCTCAATGATGTATATGCTCAGTATATATATATGTCCAACCCCTTTTGGATCATAGCAAAATATTGGCATTAGACTTAGTTTTCTATTATAATTGTTTCCAAACTATTTCAAGAGATCTCAAGAAACAGGTAAAGAGAGAGAACATGTAGTTTAATGGTAAATGAATTTTAAGCACTAAGCTTTTGAAGTTACAGAGAGTTTTCTTTTAAGCACTTTCTAAATGAACTTACAAAGGATTAGATTTCTTTTTGTGCTTTTCAACCAGTATTAGTTTTTGCTGTTTCCTTCCCTTCCTCCTCCATTTTCTTGTTCTATCTGTTCTCTAGAAGGTGTCTTCCCTTACACTTTTGTATTACATATGATTTTTCTTTGAAAGCTTCTTTAAATAATTTGTTCCCAATTATTTTACAGACCAATGCAGGCAATGAGCCAGACCTTGAAGATGAACAGGTTTGCTGTGAAGCATTGGAGGTGATGACACTGTGTTTCGCCTTGATTCCAACAGCCTTAGATGCTCTAAGTAAAGATAAAGCTTGGCAAGCCTTCATTATTGACATACTGTTGCACTGTCACAGCAAGTAAGTTTCTTTCTTATTTTTAAGAAGCTTGATCTTATTTTTGTAAAGTAGAATCAAATTTATGTTGGCACAAGGTATTATAGAAGCCAAATACTCAACATGCATGGTACATTAATATTGAGGACATTTTCAAAAATAACATTTGTTTGACCTAACCTCAATTTGTTTTAGTCTGCAAAATTGGATAAGATATTGGCCTCCTATCTTGTATTCCTAGATGCCAACTGTTATTTTAATGTGAAAGTTTATAAGAGGGTTACCATAGGAATTTAAGCATAAAGATTAGTTAATTATAATCCATCAGTTTTTCATTTTAAGAGTATTTAGTCAATATTAGTAATGCTGTTTTAAGATGTTTCTATACAAGTAATTCCGGATTTAAGACAATTCAAATCTGTAGAAATAGATTTCCATTCTTTTATACCGGTCTGATCCTGATCTTAGCATGTAATTATAAAAACTAATTAGGCCAGACATGGTGGCACACGTCTTTAATCTCAGCACTTTAGAAGCAGAGACAAGGGGACCTCTGGGTTTGCGCCTAGGCTGCTCTACATGTTCCAAGACAACCAGGGCTACATAGCAAGGCCATGTCTCAAAACAAGAAACCAAACAACAATAACAAAAAAAAAAAAGAAAACAAGCATAGTCTGTTGGCAGTGGCAGAGGCAGTGGCATCGGTGGCACCACTGTACAGACCTTTAGTCCCAACACACCTGTAATCCTACCAGGAGGCAGAGGCAGTTAGGATTCTTGTGATTTCAAGGCCAGCCTCTTTTATAGAGCTAGTTCTAGGATAGCCAAGGTTAAAGCACCACAAAATCTAATTGGTGTCCCTAATGGCTCAGGTACAACTTTCCTACTCCCGACAACACACAAATATGATACAGTGGAGCATCAAGTGAGAATGTTCAGTGATCAGAAAAGAACCTTGAGTGATTTCCTTGAAAATAGCAAGTCTGAGCCGGGCGGTGGTGGCACACGCCTTTAATCCCAGCACTTGGGAGGCGGATTTCTGAGTTCGAGGCCAGCCTGGTCTACAGAGTTGAGTTCCAGGACAGACAGAACTACACAGAGAAACCCTGTCTTGAAAAACCAAAAAAAAAAAAGAAAAGAAAAAGAAAAGAAAATAGCAAGTCTGGCCTTTTTAGAAACTCTTTTTCATCTGGATGGTAGTGGCATACCTCTAATTCCAGCACTGGAGAAGGCGGGAGGCAGTGGCAGGCAGATCTCTGAATAGGAGTCCAACCTATTCTACAAAGTGAGTTCTAGGACAGCCAGGGCTACACAGAGGAACAGGGATCGGGGACTGGGAGAAAAGAAAAACCCTTTTTCATGGGATCCAAACAAATACAGAACAGGGAGAGCTTTTGCTACCTCTATAAGAAAGTTGTAACCATAGTTAAACAGCTGTATACATTGAAAAAAATTAGTATGAATCATTCTAGTTCCATTTGATCATGAGTCGTCTTCAGGGAACAACTGTATAAACACAGTAGACTGTGTCCTTAGAGACTGTCCTTCGAGACTCTCAGAATCACCTGAAAGATTTGTTAAAACATTATTGGTCAGGCCTACTAACATTTCTCTTTAGATCTGAGAATTGGCATTTCTACAAAGTTACCAGTTGATGCTGGTGTTGCTCATCTAGGGGTAATGCTTTTGGAATCAATACTACAGTATAAGGAACAGGTGCCTCAGTATCCTTTTTATGATAACATTTCCACTTACCCCTCTGCTAAGGCACAACTGGATAGAAATTCTGTGGAAGGGGGACTGGTAGGAGTTTTAAAGTTTGATATAGGGCATTTTTATATCTATTAGAGTTTTTTAGCCTATTCTACAAAGTTAGAAGAACTTTGAGGAACTAAGAAGAACTTTTTAGTTAGAAGTTAGTTAGAAGGCACTCCTCAAACTCTTCAATGACAGTATGAGGTCATAGCTGTGAACACGCAATGGTAAGTCTGCATGCATTTTTTCATGACTGTTTAAGTGGATGTTAGTTTGTGTTCCTAATGTATCACCCCCTCCCCAAGAGGAAACAATATATTAAACATAAATCAATTCCATTTCAGAACTGTTCGTCAAGTGGCACAGGAACAATTCTTCTTAATGTGCACCAGATGTTGCATGGGACACAGGCCTCTTCTTTTCTTCATTACTCTGCTCTTTACTGTTTTGGGGGTAAGAGACTTAAAAATATGCTTACCAGTTTAATTCCTTCAACAAAGAAAGATATTCTGGAATTTATGGGTTTAACGTATATCAGTTAGGGCAATCTATACTTAATCAATAAAACATTGGTTAACTCAGGGTTTTTGAAAAGGGAATTCAAAGCATGGACATATTGATTCATTACACTGTATTTTATCATTTTCAGAGCACAGCCAGAGAGAGAGCTAAACATTCAGGCGACTACTTTACTCTTTTAAGGCATCTTCTTAATTACGCTTACAACAGTAACATTAATGTACCCAATGCTGAAGTTCTTCTAAATAATGAAATTGATTGGCTTAAAAGAATTAGGGTAAGTTGCAGTTAATATTCTCTTTGTATCGTTAAGAAATAGTGCTTCATTTATAAATGGTTCATAATTTAAAACATTCTAAGTTTGAATGTTAAGGAGACCAAAGAACATATATTGCATTGTTGGGTTATACTTTATAGAATGAATGCATTACTACTTACAGAAAGTCTGTGCCTAAGATTTAGAATACATGCTAAGCATGGAAGCACATGCTTTTTAAGCCCAGTACTTGGGAGGCAGAAGCAAGCTCATTTCTATGAATTTAAGGCCACATACTGAGACCTTGGGGAGGGGTGGGGGGTTGTCATATTGAGGTTCAGCTTTTCTGCTTTTTAGCAAGTTGTTATTTTTATTTATTTATATATGTGTGTGTGTGTGTGCGCGCGTGTGTGGTATTAGGTAGGTGTGATATTAGGTAGGATAGAAGAATAAAGGGGGGGAGAGACCGACAGAGAAATCCTCAAAGTCAGGGGCAGGAAAGCGGGTGGTAACATTGTTGGACTACTTCCTGCTGATTAGAGGCATTGAGCTCCTTAGGGCAAGTTTGATCTTCACCATCAGGATAGCTAATTTCTTCTCATCTCTTTTTTGTTTGTTTGTTTGTTTGTTTTTCGAGACAGGGTTTCTCTGTGTAGCCCTGGCTGCCCTGGAACTCACTCTGTAGACCAGGCTGGCCTCGAACTCAGAAATCCGCCTGCCTCTGCCTCCCAAGTGCTAGGATTAAAGGCGTGCGCCACCACTGCCCAGCGTAGCAAGTTGTTATTTTAAAGAAAATACTGCCTGTCCCTGCCACAGCCAAAAAAAAGTAAATACACTATTTTTGATCATAAGTCTTTTGAGGACCACATAAAAACTTATTTCTGAAGAAATACATAGTTATATCAATTACTTTTCTGTTTCTGTGATAAGATATCCTAACAAAAACAAGGGAGCGGGGATGGGGCTTAAGAGTCCATCATATCAAAAAGGGTATAGCAGTAGAAGCAGGAAGCTGGCTGTTCACATTGAATCTGAAGAAACCCAAAAGAAAGAACAGGAAGTGCGTCCAAAATTCAGAGTCAACAAGCACACCCTTCTAGTAGCTATTGTATTTCCTCCAGCAATATTCTACCTCCTGGAGGTTTCTCAGGTGTCCCAATCACCACTGCCATCTGGGGACCAAGTGTTCAAACGTGGGATCCTATTAGGGAACATTTCACAAACGTCAACAGAGTTTAGCCTTTAGATTAGCATTTCTTCTAGTAGTCTGTAAAAGCACATATATAGAAATTTTAATTTTAACTTGCTTGACTTGGAAAGCTTTGGGAGTATTGTCTCATATCCTTCTAGCTTTCTTGTTCATATTCCTCCGTTTCATAAGTTAAGCATTTGATTTTTTTTCCCTTTGGCAGGATGATGTTAAAAGAACAGGTGATACAGGTGTTGAAGAGACAATCTTAGAAGGACACCTTGGAGTTACAAAGGAACTGCTGGCTTTTCAGACTCCAGAGAAAAAGTTTCATATTGGTTGTGAAAAGGGAGGTGCTAATCTCATTAAAGTAAGTTCTGTGTTCTTGATTCTAAACTACTTGTAGGCGTTGTTGTTTAGTATGATTGGTAGCACTAGGTGTTTGGTGTGGTGTTTTTGTTTGTTTGTTTTTTCTTGATGTTTTTATAAAACCTGCCTTTTAAGAATCTTTACCAAGGTTACAATATTTATTTAAATAATGTAAAGCACTAGTGTCTTCCAGTAACCATGGCATGTTTATAGGTATTACATGCATATAAAATAAAGTGTAAAGTGTTACTTAATTTTTCTTTCCTGAAAAATCTGGACTGTTCCTAAGGATATTTGAATGAATCAAGCTTCTGTTTTAGTTTTTTTTTATTTTGTTTGCTTTCTTTTTTAAGACAGTCTCTATGTAGTTTGGACTGTCCTGTAATTTCACAGAGATCTGCCTGCCTCTGACTCCTGAATACTAGAACGAAAGGCATGTACCACCATACCTGGCAGTCTATGTTTTATAAGACTACATCATGTATATCAATTCTTTAATGAGTTTTTTTTTAATTGGGTAATTCAGATAAAAATTGCCATTTTAGTATAAATTTATTCAAAATTAGCTTCTATAGATACCATTTGATTTTTAAAGTAAATGTAAAATATAGATCTGGGCACAAAAGTCTCTTGAGTTCAAGGACAGCCAGGGCTACATGGACTCTTGTCTCAAAAAAAATGTAAAATATAAATTGTTTAGTACTGCAGCAATCAGTTATATCTTTATACTTAAAAAAAAAGAAATTAAGTATAACTAGTAGATAGGTAAAATTACCTAGTAAGTAGTAAAAGTAGAATATTTTTACTAGAAAACCTACATAAATTTTCTGTGATGTAAGACACATAGTCGTCTTTCCAGAATGTCATTTCTAATAATTAATCCTTTGTTTCAACTGTTTAGGAATTAATCGACGATTTCATCTTTCCTGCATCCAATGTTTACCTGCAGTATATGAGAAATGGAGAACTCCCTGCTGAGCAGGCCATTCCTGTCTGTGGCTCACCAGCCACAATTAATGCTGGTTTTGAGTTACTTGTGGCATTAGCTGTTGGCTGTGTGAGGAACCTTAAACAGATAGTAGATTCTTTGACTGAAATGTATTACATTGGTACAGCAATAACTAGTAAGTACTTTAAAACATAGTTGTGGTGATGATTCTGTTTTAAACTGTTTGCTCTTTTTATAAACATCTTTAAGTCATATTTTGGTAGTTACTAGTCTAGGATTTTTAGCAAATAGATAGGAAAATATAAGTGACTGTACAAGTATTTGGTAAATTAGATGTTATCTTGCAAATTGGAAATGCAGCCTATCTCCATTGTAGTCAGGAAATGCAACCAAAGCCTAAATCTCTTGACACAGAAAACCTTTCAATGTCTCTACTTTTTTTTTTTTTAAGCTCTCACTATGTTCTAGCAAGTTTAAATGTAGTGAGGTGAATTTTTTTTTTAGCTTAATGGAAAGGAGTTTTTCTTTTGATTGAAACAATTTTGCATGTTAAAAAATTTTGGAGGGGGGTGGCTCACGCTTGTAATCCTAGCACTGGGGAAGGCATAGGCAGGCAGATCTCTGAATTTGAGTCCAGTTTGGTCTACAACGTGAGTTCTAGGACAGACAAGAAACCCTGTCTCAGGGCAGGAGTGGTATTTAAGTATAAATTGTGTATGTCAGTATACACTTGTAATCCTAGTACCTTGAAAGGTTGCTGTGAGTTTGAAGCTACCCTGTTTGTATCAGTTAATTGTCCATTACTGTGATAAAACACAGTGAGCAAGCCAACTTATAGAAGGAAGAGTTTACTTGGGCTGCTGTTTTCAGAGGGATAAAAGTCTATCACTATCTCAGCAAGGAAGTGTGGCAGCAGGTAGGCATGGCAGGAACAGTAGAGCTGACAACCTAGAGCTGCAAGCAGGAAACAGAATAAACTGGAAATGGCATATAACTTTTGAAACCTCAGAGCCTGCCCCCAGTAACATACTTCTCTAACAAGGCTTTCTCATAAAATTAAATTCAAATAAAAGCAAACGAGTGCTAAAGAGAGTATGCACTTATTTATTTATTTATTTAGGTTTTTCGAGACAGGGTCTCTCTGTGTAGCCCTGGCTGTCCTGGAACTCACTCTGTAGACCAGGCTAACCTCGAACTCAGAAATCTGCCTGCCTCTGCCTCCCAAGTGCTGGGATTAAAGGCGTGCGCCACCACCGCCCAGCCTGATCACTTTTAAACGTACATTTTTACCTATCTGTTTTCTTGGTCATAATTATTACCATAGTTCATATGTTTCTTGTCATCTCCTCTGTGTATTCAGGTCCTCTAGAAGATCAGCCAATGCTCTTAGCTGCTGAATCCCATCTCTCAATCCCCCTGATATTCTTTGCTTTACTCTCTACTTGATATTGCTGTCATTCCTTGTTTACCTATTCATCTATTGTTTATAAACCTGTCACTTTAGTATATTGTCATTCATTTAGCTGTCCTTCTAGAAAACGATATTTATATTGTTTCTAGCTTTATGCTAGGTACAGAAACATAAGGATATGTTTAGTAAGTATATCTCCCATTCTCAGCAAACTTTCATATCCACCATGTGGTTTGCTCTCCAAAATAGCACTGCGGATATAAGGAGACCTAATTTTAGTCTTATTTGCATGTATCAGAGAAGGACATAAACCTAGGTAGCTTTGGGGGCTTATTGAAACCACAAACATAAATGAAAACATTTCATTAAAACTGAGCAACACCCACATGTTGTTATGCATATAAACTAAAAGTGAATAATGGGCTGGAAAGGTGGCTCAGTCTTTAAGAATGCTTGTTGCTATTATAGATAGCCACCTTGGGTGGCTCACAAGTACTATAACTCTAATTCCAGGGGTTCTACACCTATCTCTAGCCTCTATTCATACATGTATATACAAACATACATATAAATAAAAATACTTTCCAAAACATAATGACTGGATAGTACAGATAGAACCAACCCTAAGAAGGAAAGGTTAGCTGTGTACCATCTCATATATTAGAGACTGCCATAAAGGCAACATCAGATTAAAACCAATGGGGTTTGTGGTAGTTGGCATGTGTCTCAGTTGGTAGAGTGCATGCTTGATGTACACAGAGCAAGAAGTCAGTGGCTTTGACGCCCAGTATTCCATAAACTAGGCATCGTGTTCCATACCTATAATCCCAGCACTGGGTGGATTATAAAAACATAAAAAAAGGAGGATCTTAAGTTGAATATCATCCTTAGTTACATTGGTAGTTCCAGGCCAGTCTGGCTATATGAGACACTGTCTTACAAACATAAAAATAGAATCAAAGGTTGGTAGGTGCAGGAGCCTGCAGTAATGTAGGTTGCTGGTTGTTTTTTTTTTTTAAGATTTTTATTTATTTTATGTATGTGAGTACACTGTAGCTAATCTTCAGACACACCAGAAGAGGGCATCACCATGTGGTTGCTGGGAATTGAACTCAGGACCTCTGAAAGAGCAGTCAGTGCTCTTAGCCACTGAGCCATCTCTCCAGCCACTGGGTTGCTGCCTTAAATGCATTTATTAATGGAAAAATGCCAAACGAGAGCCCTGCCTCCTATGACTGCTCTGGTAGTAGTATTTCTGTTTTGTGAGCTTAAGAGCGCTTAAAAAGCACAAAATCATTTCTGCCTGTGCTATAAAACTCTTCTTTCTTTTTCAGCTTGTGAAGCACTTACTGAGTGGGAATACCTGCCACCTGTTGGACCCCGCCCACCAAAAGGATTTGTGGGGCTGAAAAATGCTGGTGCTACTTGTTACATGAATTCTGTGATTCAGCAACTCTATATGATTCCCGCTATCAGGAACGGTATTCTTGCAATTGAAGGCACAGGTAGTGATGTAGATGATGATATGTCTGGGGATGAGAAGCAGGACAATGAGGTAAATTTCTTTTATTACTTCATTCGGTTCTGTGTGTGAAATTTTGATAACAGATACCATTCTCTCATTGGATACCAAGGGGGATAAGTACAGTCACGATCAGTTTCCACAGGATTCCCTTCCAAAAGCCTCAAGATGTTCAAAATTTGCCAATATACAAGTAGTTTGAATGGAGCCTACACAAATCTTTTTACACATTTATGTCATCTGTAGATTACATATAATGCCTCATACAGTGTTGATGCTATATAGTTGTGTTACATAAGAAGTAGTGATTTTTAAAAGTCTAGATATATCTGCTACAGAATTAATCAATTTACCTTTGTGGACCCATAGATGATGCTGTTGTTAGTGGATTGAAGATCTAATCGTGTTGTGGTTTCCTTCCTTAGACTGTAAAAGTTATGTTTGAAAGTGGGCACACCTTCTACTACCACTTGTGGAGTTTGTCTCATTACAGCAGTTACAATGTATCCATCTTTTTTAAAGTAGTGTCTGATAGAAGTTGAAATTTGACTAGTTTAAATTGATGATGGCCAATCTTTTGACTTTTCTGAGCCATAATTTGGACAAAGAATTGTCTTGAGCCACACCTTCCCAGCCCCCCACCCACATATTTTGTTTCTGTGATTCTTTTGAGGCAGTCTTCTTATGATGTCCAAGTGAGCCTCTGAAGGTCTTCATCTTCAGTTTTCCAGGTGATAGGGTTATAGTGTATACCACCACACTAAGTTTTTCACTTTTATCTATGCTTGCTCCTTTTTGCTTATGGTTATATTTCCTCCTAAGTCTTATCTCTTCCTACTTAAAAACAAAACCTATACCTACTTCAAATACTGTTTACATGATCTTGTGACAAAGGTTTAAGCTTCCTGAAAAGTAGCCAAAGTAGAATAAAGCAATGGAAAAAAATGAAAGTGATAGCAACAGGTAAAAGTTGATAACCATGTGTGTGGCTTTTCAAAGAAAAGAATATAGCAATACTGAAGTTGGGTCTTGTTTGTATCCACACTGTTTGTCTGTGTTTTTATTGATTTATCTGTCCCTGTTTGTAGTGTTAGAATCCCATGAGTTGTATTCTTATTGTCATAAGTATTTTTAGATCCCTTAATTCACCAAAATTGGATTTGTTCTGAAGAAAGAGCTCACCACCTCTAGGGCTTCTAAAACAACTCTTCCCCAGACCTACTAGACTTAGATGATCCAGGGATTGGGGACTGAGTATTTTTACTTTCTACCAAAGCTTCATAACAGGTGATTACATCCAAAACCTGGTGAGGACCTTTATTCCTATATTAAAGGTTTCAAATACAAGATGTCCACTGAACTATAACTTTTCCTCTGTAGCCTTCAAAATTTTGAACCTTGGTAATTTTCATGTTATACCTTCTACCACTATTTGTTTTTGTTTAACTTAAGGTTCTGGCTATCTTTCCCAGGTTGCCCATTAGCTTCTGGGCTAGCCCTAGTAACTGGAATTCAAGGCACATGCTGTGATGCTCAGCTTTACTACTTGTTTTCCAAGGTCTTAAATGGGCCTGATCTTAAACTATGTTTTATTATACAGCTAAATACTATAAAGTGCACTTATTGTTGTGCACCTTTACTATTATATCTGAAACTACTTTTATCCTGCAAAAGTAAAACTCTGTCCATTAAATAACTCCTCCCAAACTTGACAACAGCCTTTGACAAATACTTTTTTTTTGTTTGTTTGTTTGGTTTTGGTTTTGGTTTTTCAACACAGGGTTTCTCTGTGTAGCCCTGGCTGTCCTAGAACTCACTCTGTAGACCAGGCTGGCCTCGAACTCAGAAATCCGCCTGTCTCTGCCTCCCATGTGCTGGGATTAAAGCCATGCGTCACCACTGCGTGGCAGCAACTACTGTTTTTAATCTATGAATTTGACTGAAGTACCTCATATAAGTGGAATCATACAATATTTACTCTTCTGTGATTGACTAGATTTGCTTTTGTTGAGAATAGTGTAGACAGACCTGGAACTTGTGAGCCTTCTCCTTCTAGCTGGATAATACTTTGTTTATACTTTCTCTTAAAAATAGTGTTTCTATATAGTGTTTCTATATATGTAGTTCTGGCTGGCCTGCAACTTGCTGTGTAGACCAGATTGGCCTCATACTTGCAGAAGTCTCCCTCTTAAGTGCTAGAATTAAAGACTTGCCAGCTTTTTGTATTTATTTTAAAATTTGAGTTGTGGGTTTAAGGAGTCCTCTGTGTATTCAGGATTCTACTTCCTCATCAGATAAGTAATTTTCCATTTTCCTCCCACACTGATTCATCGCCTCTCTTGGCAGTATATCTATACAGAAGTTTTTCGTTTTCTTGAGATCCAGCTTGTTGTGTCCTCTTTGTACCTTTGATATTATTGTAAGAAATTGTTATCAGCTATAATGTCTTCAAAATTGCCTTCAAGTTTGGTTTTATTGTTTTAGTTCTATTTAGGACTTTGGTACAGATTGAGTTGTTTTCTCTATGTAATGTTAAGGAGGGCTAAGCTTCATTTTTTTTACTACTATTAATGTCTATATTCTTACTTATGTGCAACAGCAGGAACACTCTCATGCACTATAAATTAAATGTATATGCCTTTTGAAAATTAAGTGCTTGGAAACAAAGTAAAAGTTTATGTTCACAAACTGGAATTTATCTCAACATATTTTACTTCTGATTAGCTCATTAATCTTTTTGGTTTCTAGAGCAATGTTGATCCCAGGGATGATGTGTTTGGATATCCTCAACAATTTGAAGACAAACCACCACTGAGTAAAACAGAAGATAGGAAAGAGTACAATATTGGTGTTCTAAGACACCTTCAGGTTATCTTTGGCCATTTAGCTGCTTCTCGACTACAGTACTACGTGCCCAGAGGATTTTGGAAACAGTTCAGGTAAAGTATGGATGGACAGTAATAAAACATCACTTAATAAATAGCTCATATTCCTTAAGTACATATCTTAAGATAGCTTTATGTTCAGTTTTTAAGCAATAGTAATATTCTGACTATCCTTAAATTTTCTTTTTTGTTTTTTGTTTTTTGTTTTTTTTTTCGGGAGGAGGGGATGAAAAGGTCCATAGTCAAGGACAATTTTCTTTCGTTTTGGTAATTTTTGACATGTTAAAAATTAAACAGAGCAGGGCAGTGGTGGCACACGCCTTTAATCCCAGCACTCAGCAGGTGGATTTCTGAGTTCGAGGCCAGCCTGGTCTACACAGAGTGAGTTCCAGAACAGCCAGGGCTATACAGAGAAGCCCTGCTCAAAAAAAAAAAAAAAAATTAAACAGATTTAATGGTTCTCAATCTTCCTAATGCTGCAACCCTTAAGTAAGGTTCCTCATGTTGTAGTGACCCTCAACCATAAAATTATTTCCATTGCTACTTTATAACTATAATTTTGCTACTATTATGAATTGTAAATATTTTTCAAGAAAGGGGTCATAGGGCCAAAGGGGACACATCCTACAGGTTGAGAACATAGTTCTTTGTAGTCCTGGCTGTCCTGGAACTTGGCTTTGTAGACTAGACTAGCCCTAAACTCACAGATGTCCTCCTGCCTCTGCTTCCAGAGTGTTGGAATTAAAGGCATGCACCACCATATCCAGTCAAAAATTATTCATATGGGTTCAATGCCTGGTGGCATTGGAGGCCGGAAGAGGGTGTTGGATCCTCTGGAATTGGCATTACAAACGATTCCTAGCTATCATTTGGATGCTGGGAACTGAACCAGATCTTCTGCAAGAACAAATCTTTCTAGCCTCCTTTAGTCTCTTAAGACATAGCTACCTTGATTATGAAAATATCTGATGCATATACAATAGAATCATAGGGGCATATCATAGGAAGATATATTTCTTCCCATTACTTTCCAGGTTATTTAGAGACAAATCACAGATAATAGTTTCACCTTTAATTGCTTCATTGTGTGTCTTTGTTTTAAAACATAATGAATCTATTTCTATGCTTTTTGAACCTCCCTTGACATTGAATATAGTCAGCATTTGAACTTTTCCATTATATCAAATAACTTTCCCAAATCAGAAGCCATGCGAGGACCATATACCATAAATAGTATTTTCTCTTTTCCCCCTGCACATTCTTTAAGGTGCCCAGTGAGGTCCAAGGGTTTGATCAGATTAGCATAGTTTTGGTTTTGTGTGGAAGATAGGCAAGGCTACTAGATGGGTGTTGTGCCTACAGGTTTTGGTTTTTCAAGACAGGGTTTCTCTGTATAGCCCTGGCTGTCCTGGAACTCACTCTGTAGACCAGGCTGGCCTACAGTTTTATCTCCATGGGGAGTTGGTACATGGCATTTTTCTGCCTCTCCTGATGGTAGCAGCAATCATAATACTCAGCTTATACAATGAAATTCTTCCAGTTGTTAATCTATCAAGAGAACTAATTAATTTAGAGCAGTTTTGATGAGTTAAAATCTAAGATTGAACATTTGAAGGAAGAAGATTCATTGATTGCCTTCTGTTAATGGTGGTGTTAGAGGCCCACCATTGCTGAATTGTGTGTAGGAGAAAAAACACGGGGAATAAGAATAGACAGGACCAACTTTGCTCTTTTTATAATAATCATTTGGTGTAAACAGTCTTTAGGTTATATAGATGGTGAGACACCAACTGTTTTGCTACCCACATCCTGTTTCCTATAGTTTTACAATAAAGACAGCATAAATGCTCCTCTAGAAGATTATGTGTGCATCTGTTCACTTAATTCATGATAAGAACTGGTACCTTGGTGTCTTAACAGATGTCTCTGTTGTAAGGGTCATGTGTGTTTTGAAGTATGGTGAATTGTATTACAGCTTGAAAGTAAATAGAATAGACTAGTGTTATTTCCAATAATGTAACAATGATAGGTCTGATTTTTTTTTTTAACGTTGCTATGTGTAGGGGTTTTTTTTTGTCTAAATTATATTATTTGCTACATACAAGAAATATTTATTGAGTAGTGCTGTGGTGTATATAATGTACAGTTGTCATCTCTTGCTTGGAAAGAATGCACTTAGGTCCTCTGTGTTTGTTAGTACAATGTCACATGTAGATTCCATCAGAACCTGGGTGAAGCAATGGCTATTCTCAATTTGTGTTGTATGCATAGTATGAATGATAGTTTTAGAGTTAGTTTGTCTAATTTAAGTCCTCAGATCACTGAAAAGAGATTAACTATAGACTAAATCAAGCCTTTCTTTTTTCACTTAGAAATATCAGCTTAATGAAGGTAGACAAACACATTCTTTTTGTCTGTAATCCAAAGTTTGGCAAAATGCTTAGTAAAAGCATCCCTGTAAGATCCACCATTTCATTTTAATGACATCTACAGCTGGGTTCAAAATTAATGTATATGTTGTACCATCTGAAGCAACCACCTTTCTTAGAGCTATGCTATCAACCATACCATTAGTTCTGTGGTAATTCTTTGCCACTTTAATACCACTTTTACTATGGGTCTCACTGTCCCCCTCAATTCTTTGAACATAAAATTCTGACTTTTCTGTGTTGTTTCCTACTTTCTCATGTAGTTGCTTTAATATGCTGTCATTGTAATTGCCTTACCCACAACTGTAAAAACAGAATGTTTTTATTGTGATTGTCACATGTTACATGTTATATTCTATTCATTTTTCAGGCTTTGGGGTGAGCCTGTTAATCTTCGTGAACAACATGATGCTTTAGAGTTCTTTAATTCATTGGTGGATAGTTTAGATGAGGCTTTAAAAGCCTTAGGGCATCCAGCTATGCTAAGTAAAGTTTTGGGAGGTTCCTTTGCTGATCAGAAAATTTGCCAAGGCTGCCCACATAGGTAAGTCCTAATATAATACTGTTATATATGCTAATAATAAAACTATTACTAGTGCTAATATGAAAATGGGATATGCCACTATCTATTAGACTCCTACAACTGAAAAAGTACTATGGATATCTGAGAAGTTTTTTGTTTTGTTTTGTTTTGTTTTGTTTTGTTAAATAACTTGATTCCTTTTGATGCTTTTAATCTCTTACTATTTCATACTTTTAATTCTTTTATATTTTTCTAAGGAACTAACATGACAGTTTACATAATGACTAGAGATGTACTTACAAGTTTGCCTTTTATCTTAGAATTTAGATAATATAGATACTCTGAGTTTAGAGGATGACAGGCTACAGGTGTTTTTTTTTTCTTAACCACTTTTAAAACAAAATTAGGTATTACCATCTTTTTCCCACATACCTAGTATCATCATTCTTAAGGTATATATACATACAAAATACTATAAGAGTTAAGTGGGAAACTGTATATTGTTGTTGTTGTTATGATGGTTTTTAATTTTAAAAGGACTTTTAGTAGCTCTTAAGTGTAGCTTGTCCCAGTGCTTGGGAAGCTAAGGCAGGAAGATTACAAAAGTTTAGAATACATATTGAAAAATATCTAAATAATGGACTGGTGAGGTGGCTACATTCTTAAGAGTACTCACTGCCCTTATAGAGGACTGGGTTTCAATTGTGAGCATGTACATGTTGGGTCACAACCATGTGTAACCTTAGTTTTGGCAGATCTGATGACCTTCTGGCCTCCTCAGGCAGTAGGCAACATATGGAACAGATACATAATACTCATAATTAATCTAAAGCAATCTATATGCATTCTCTCTGTATAAAATATTAAATATGCATTACTGACTGTCAACTCACAGCAACATTCTATTTCAGTGCTATAAGGAAGTCTGTTATTCTGTGTGATAACTTAAAAACTGGAGGTGCTGGAGATCCAGGTTATTGTTTAAGAACTGGCTGTTCTTGTAGAAGACCCGGGTTCAATTCCCAGCACCCACATAGAGACATACAACTGTCTGTATGTAACTCCAGTTTCAGAGGATCTGACACTTCCTCCTGGCTTCTCTAGACACTGGGCATGTACGTTGTACATAGACATACATGCTGACACATACATTTTTTTTTAAATAACAAAATAAGCTAGAGCTCAGCAGTTACAAGCTCTTGCTCTCCGGAGAACCCAAGTTTAGTTTCCAGGACTTAGAACTCAAACTCCAGGGGATACAACACCCTTTTCTGCCTCAATGGGCATACAGCATATGGCAGACACACAAACTTACACATAAATTTTAACAATAACAAATATCTTTTAATTGGAGGCAGCAAGGTGGTTCAGCTTGGTAAAGGCACTTGGAGGCTCAAATTAGCAAACTATGGAAGGAGAGAACCAACTTCACGAAGTTGTCCTCTTACATGTATTGTGTATGTAATGGCGCGTGCAGCCATACACACTATAAATAATACATTTTCAGAAATAGTTTTCAATTAAAATTCTTTTAAAATAGCAGTCTACTATTAGAGAACTTTATTTGCCTAGAGTAGTGATCAAAAAAGAAACCTATAAATCATGGGCCTTATCTAGCCAGTTACCTGTTTCTATAAAGTTAGTTAGAACTTGATCAGTCTATATATTCAAAAGTACTTACCTACTTTTACTAGAATGGCAGAATTGCGCACTTGCCACAGGGGCCCATAATTACTGTCAAAACAACATGGTAGACTAAAAGAGCTTAAGCTCAAGTAGCCCTGTCTTTTTATTTATTTGGTTTGGTTTTTTGTTTTTCCAAGACAGGGTCTCTCTATGTATCCTGGGCTGTCCTGGAACTAAAATAGGATGAACTTGAACTCAGACTTTCCTGCCTCTGCCTCCCCAAGCTGGCCTGTCTTAATTCCCACTTCACTTAAGTTTGGTTGGTTGGTAGTTCTCAAGCAATTCTGTCATGAAGGCAAAGGACAGCATGTAATCAACAACCTAATGTGACTAGCACAGTCTAAATAACCAGGAAATGCCGTCAGTATTGTTAAACATTCCATAACCTTAGAGGTTTCATAGTTTAAGCATTATAAATTCAGTTTCACTAAATATGTAAATAATGAAGTATTTAGAGAACTGAAGAGTGAATTCTTTTCTGATAACTTCTTAAATAATATCTTTAGGTACGAATGTGAAGAATCTTTTACAACTCTGAATGTAGACATTAGAAACCACCAAAATCTTCTTGATTCTTTGGAACAGTATGTCAAAGGAGATTTACTAGAAGGGGCAAATGCTTATCATTGTGAAAAGTGCAATAAAAAGGTATGAATTATCTGTTAAGATAACTATGATGTACCTCTAACTGAGCAGCTATGGGTAGTCAGTTTCTGGTAAAGAAAAACGGTTTTCTTTAAGGGTTTGTGTGTGCACACATGTGCATGAGCACATTATCATTAATGAATTTGGTGGGAATGGTGGTGGTGGTGGTGGTGTTTTTTTTTATTTATTTTGTTTGTTTGTTTGCTTGAGATAGTCTTCTACCTCTCTGGTTGTATTAATAGGACTGTCTTGAATGGGTAGAGATCAACTTGCCTCTACCTCCAGAGTGCTGGGACTAAAGGTGTGCACCACCACATATTTAATGAATTTTGAAGTTTTTGGTAGCATTTGTTCATTCTCAAAGTTAACACTTTTTTTCTATTTTCCTTTGTCATAATAAGAAATAGTTGGGTGAGAGAGAAAGTGTGTGAATGTGTGTGTATGTTTTAAAAGAAAAAAGTTAAGAAGTAATACTACAAAAAACAAAATTTGTAATAGCATAATGCTAACTTTGTTATGTGAATTAGCATAAGTAAATTTGTTTCTGCCTAGAAACAAACACCATAACTAATGGAGGAAAACATTTTTTCTCTTATATCCAGAAATCTTTTGCCGAAACTATTATTTCTTAAATGTAGTGAAATTTGTTTTTTATCACCTGATTAGATTTTTTTTTCCATGGGAACTTAGCTCTTCAAGGAAGAGGAATATTCACACATATGAATAGTAAATTATGTTTATCCTTTCTGGCTTCCAAACCAATTTACCTCTAAGTCACCTGTATTGTTTGCCCTACCACACCACTTAAAGAAGTATGAAAGTCTGTGCATTTTGATTATGGGGTATGAAGCAACACTGTCTGCCACCATAGGTCTTGAGACATGAGACAAGTTCCTAAACTTACCAGGACTCTATCTTACCAGGACTCTATCTTACCAACACTCTATCTTTAAGGTTAAGTAGTGCCAACTTAAGAGGGTTGTAACGGTTAAATATGTTATCACCTGTGTAACATTAACTACCTTCTAACTGCCCAATAAAAGTAAACTGTTCAGTTTGTTTACAGCTAAGAACCTTAGTTGGAATAACTGTAAATAACAAACAATGACTAGAGGCGAGGGTAGTACAGAAACTAGGCAGTAATGTGTAAATGACTAATTTTTACATTTTGTAGTAACTGGTATAGGCCATTTCCATTTTATTAATCAGTTAATGTTTACATCAACTTCAGAGAAATATCTTAAGCTTACAATTCAAGTAAATCTTACGAAAACTTGATGTAGTCCTTTTTAAGAATTTGCTAAAGAGGCTAGAGAGAGAACTCAGCCATGAAAAGTGCTTAGTGCTTTTGTAGAGGATTTAGATTTAGTTTTGAACACCAGCATGGCAGCACATAGTCATCTATGGTTCCAGTTTCAGGGAATCTAATGCCTTTGTCTGGCCTCCTCAGCCACCAGCACATATGTAGTACACTTGCACATAAAATTATTTACTTGAAGCGCTACATGTAGTGATTGACAACTACACAAGAAAAGCCAAAGTACCAGGTTCAGGTCTGCCTAAGCTTCGTAGTGCACTAATCTGAAGCCAACTGGAACTATAGTATGAGGCCCCCTATCCCAAGGGGAAAAAAAATTAAGAGAAAATGTTGTACTTGGTCTCCGCCATCTCGATGGCACAAGCTTGTAACCTCAATAGGAGACTGAGGTCTGGGCTACAGAGCAAGAACAAAGCTAGCCTGAGCAAAAGAGAAATGGAGATATAGCTAAAGGATGAGTACTTGCTTAACATGTATGATGCCCTGTGTTAACTTTCTGATTTGGGGATGTTGGTGTTTTTTTGGATTTTGGTTTGCTTTTTCCTATGGATTATATCTGTTAATTTTCTCTTGATTTTAGGTTGATACTGTAAAGCGCTTGCTAATTAAAAAATTGCCTCCTGTTCTTGCTATCCAACTAAAACGATTCGATTATGACTGGGAAAGAGAATGTGCAATCAAGTTCAATGATTACTTTGAATTTCCTCGAGAGTTAGACATGGAACCTTACACAGTTGCAGGTGTTGCTAAACTGGAGGGAGATAATGTCAACCCAGAAAGTCAGCTGATACAACAGAATGAGCAGTCTGAAAGCGAGAAAGCAGGAAGCACAAAATACAGACTTGTGGGTGTGCTCGTGCACAGTGGCCAAGCAAGTGGGGGACATTACTATTCTTACATCATTCAGAGGAATGGAGGGGATGGTGAAAAAAATCGTTGGTATAAATTTGATGATGGAGATGTAACAGAGTGTAAAATGGATGACGATGAAGAAATGAAAAACCAGTGTTTTGGTGGCGAGTACATGGGAGAAGTATTTGATCACATGATGAAGCGCATGTCGTACAGGCGTCAGAAAAGGTGGTGGAATGCATATATACTTTTTTATGAACGAATGGACACAATAGGTCATGATGATGAGGTGATAAGATACATATCAGAGATTGCTATCACCACAAGGCCTCATCAGATTGTTATGCCATCAGCCATTGAAAGAAGTGTTCGGAAGCAGAATGTTCAGTTCATGCACAACCGAATGCAGTATAGTTTGGAATATTTTCAGTTTATGAAAAAGCTACTTACATGTAATGGTGTTTACTTAAACCCTCCTCCAGGTAAGTGTCAAGACTTAGTTTATTAAAGCAAAGAGTAATTGTTATTTCTAAGATTTATTAGTAGGCATAGCCTTGCTGTGTGTGTGTTGGTTTTTTAAGACCGGGTTTCTCTATGTATCTCTGGATATCCTGGAATTTGTGATGTCATCCAGGATGGCCTCAAACTCAGATCACTTGCCTTTGCCTCCCAACTGCTGAATCAAAGATGTGCACCACCACCACCCTGCTAGCTTTATTCATCTTATACCTATAAATGTTTGCCTAAGTGTATGTCTGTGCCATGTGCACGCAATTCTTGAGGAGGCCAGAAAAGGGCATTACATCCCCTGAAACTGGAGTTGCTGGGTGGGTGCTGAGAACTTAACCTTGTACCTCTGTAAAACCAGCAAGTGCTCTTGATTGCTGAGCCATCTCTCCAGTCTCCATTTCCCTTTTTTGGCAGGTGAGGGTGTATGTTTGTTTGGTTTTGGTTTTTTTTAGGAGGTGTTTCTCTGCCACCCTGGCTGTCCTGGAACTCAGAGATCTGCCTGTCTCTGCCTCCCAAGTGCTAGAATTAATGGTGTGTGCCGCCATGCCCTACTTAAATATATAAAGTTATTATTTTCATTTTGAATGGATGTAAGTTGATGCTTTTGGCTAAAATTAGATTTAAGATGATTTGTGTTTGAGTACTAAGTATTTATAGTCATACTGTTTGGAGATAAGTTTTTCTTTGTTGCAGCAAATTTTTGTTTAATACACTACTATAAAGGATTGTATTTGGTTCTAAAATCAGGAATAATAATTTCATAAATAATCTAAGAAGAGTTTTAACAAATTGAGAGTGCAAAGTACAAACTTGTTTGAAAGTGGGACTTGAAGAGACACTTGGTTGTTTTAAATATGGGTTTGTTTTTTTTAGGGCAAGATCACCTGTCTCCTGAAGCAGAAGAAATCACTATGATTAGTATTCAGCTTGCTGCTAGGTTCCTTTTTACTACAGGATTTCATACAAAGAAAATAGTCCGAGGATCCGCCAGTGATTGGTATCTTGTTTTGAATTTTTATTCCTGTTTAAGATTTGGTGGTGGTCTTTGTAGAGGGCTCTATATTTTTTTCAGAACCACAAAACTATTATTCAAACTTACGAGACAGAATTTTTAAAAAATCATAGTAATAAGAAATCATACTGGGTGCTACACAGAGAAACTGTGTCTCAGAAAAAAAGAGAGAGGGAGAAGGAGAGAAAGAGAACAAGGCTGAGAAGACCTAAAGAAGTGACTGCTAATAGGTTAAGAGGTTTGAGTGACTAAACAGTCTAGACCTGTGGTGATTGATGCACAACTTTACCAACACCCTAAAAGAAAACCACTTAAATGCCATAAACTTTATGATACAAATTTCAGCTCATTCTGTATTCAAACTTGGACTTCAACTTTGTATCAATCACTTGCTATTGTAACTTAGGGAAACCTAAATAGTCCATATGGGGGCTGGAGAGATGGCTCAGAGGTAAGAACACTGGCTGCTCTTTCAGAGTTCAATTCCTAGCAAACCACATAGTGGCTCATAACCATCTATAATGAGATCTAGTGCCCTCTTCTGGCCTGCAAAGCATATATGTAGGCATAACACTGTAGACAAAAACAAACAAAGATGAATTTTTAAAAAGACACTAAAAAAAGAGAAATCATACTAAAATACTTGGCATAAATTCAAAGGGTAAAAATAAGTATAGAGGCCATTATGATGCCTTTTTAGCAATTATCATTTACTTAGGGCCAGTGAGGGTGGCTCTTGCCACCAAAACTTGACAAAACTGAGTTTGAAACCCAGAACCCACATGGTAGAAGGAGAGAACCTATTCCTGTCAATATAGTCCATTTACCTGCACACACAAGCGCGTGCTCGTACACACACACAGACATATAAGTGTACAAAGCTTCTGTACATATCCAGAAGATAACTACAGTAAGGAAAGAAGTTATTTTGTCATTTTTGGAGACAAGGTTGCTCTGTGTAGCCTTCGGTATTCTGAAACTCACTCTGTAGATTAGGCTGGCTTTGAACTAAGACTCCCAAATTCTGGGGAAGGTGTGCACCACCACCTCTGACTTAGTAATATATTTTTAATGAACAATACAAGCTTTTGACTATTTTATAATTCCATGAGATTAGGCCAATCTATATAGTACTCATCTCTCTTCTCCCCAAGCCCCAGCAAGCCCCACTCCACCCTACTGCACCCCCACACACACACATACACACACACAGGGTTCTCTGGGTAAATAGAACTGGCTGGCCTAGAACTCTCCATAAACCAGACTAGCCTTTAACTCAGATCTGCCTGGACATTAAAGGCATGCACTACCACACCTAGCTCATCATCAATCATTTTAATGTTAATACTAGAAGTAGTCATTACTGCTGTTCCCGCCAGAGAAAAAAGATACTTGCTTTTTTGTTTGTTTTGATTCAATTCTCCATCACTTTACTATAGGAAAAGTGAACTGAATTTATAGTCTGATAGTTATGCTTTGTTTTGTTTTAGGTATGATGCATTGTGTATTCTCCTGCGTCACAGCAAGAATGTGCGATTTTGGTTTGCTCACAATGTCCTTTTTAATGTTTCAAATCGATTCTCTGAGTACCTTTTGGAATGCCCTAGTGCAGAAGTGAGAGGCGCATTTGCAAAACTTATTGTCTTCATTGCACATTTTTCCTTACAAGACGGGCCTTGTCCTTCACCTTTTGCATCTCCTGGACCTTCTAGTCAGGTAATTGTACCTTTGTTTATATATGTATTTACCAAAAAAAAATGAGCTTTATGTGTTTGTTGAAGTTGAAGAGAGAAAACTGAATGCGTTTTTTTTTTATGATTACCACACATCAGACACCTAGACTGATAACCTGACTTCCGTTAAAATTACTAGCTAAAAAGCAACAGTGATTATTTGCCCTTTAAAAATACGTGGGTTGGACTGGGGTGAGGGTCAGTGGTAGAGAACTTTCCTAGGTTTCTCTTTAATATAATGCTTTTATATTAAAGCCTTCAGTTTTCATGTCAAGCACAAAAGGGAATTTTCTCTTGAAGAGATATTTTTTTAATGTGTATATGTATGTGCACACCTGCACACATGTGCTTTTTTAAACCTTTATTTTGTGTGGACAAGCGTAGAGATCAGAGGATCTTTTTGGGAGTTAGTTCTCTCCTTCCACCATGTAGGATCCTAGGGATCAAACTCCAAGGCGTCTGTTTGGGTGGTAAGCTCCTTTACCCATTGAGCCATCTCACCAGCCCTGTTTTTTAATTACCTTACAAAGTAGTGTTTCTATATGAGATTTTCATAACACTTCTTTTTGGTGGATTTTTAATAAACATTTTTGGTTTCAATTGCAGCAAAGTAAAAAATGTATAATGAATACAAAGGCTGAGTATGGTGCTACAATAGTTTGTGGTACAAACCTATAATTCCAACTGCTAGAGAATTGCAAGTCAGCTTGGGCCAACTTAGTTGAGATGCTTTCTTCAATAGTAAGAAGAGATCTTGGTAGATAAGCTCAGTGGCAAAGGTCTTCTCTAGCATTAGCATATACAAGTCCTTGGATCAATCTGGTGTTGGTAAGCAGTGTGAATAGAATTCATGTGATCAGTCCTTCCAGAAAAGTATTCTTGTATTTAACATACACATAAAATTATCTTTGCACCTTGTTGAGAATCAGCTAGTGTTTTCTCCTTTACAGGCTTATGACAACTTAAGTTTGAGTGACCACTTATTAAGAGCAGTACTAAATCTCTTGAGGAGGGAGGTTTCAGAGCATGGACGTCATTTACAGCAGTATTTCAACTTGTTTGTAATGTATGCCAATTTAGGTAAGAATTAAAATTTTCATAATTTCTGTTAAAGTATTATGTTAAATGATAGGTCCAATGATGAAATAGGATTTGGTTTTCTTTTTCTTTTTTTTCTTTATATTAAACCTTCTCTAAATATAGAATATCCTCCCCCACCAACCCCTGTGAACTTCATAATTTTTTACATAATACTCCTGTGGTAAACACAAGTGAGGTTCTGTTGTCTTAACTTTTGCTTCCAAAAGCAATGATACTACATCTGCCTGCTTTATTAACATACTCATTCCCAGGCTTCATCCAATTCACTAACTAAATCAGAATTACCACAGTTATTACAAAGAATCTTTGTTTTTACTGTGAGAGTCATCAATTTTGGAGTGAGGTCTGGAAAAAATTGAAGTGAAATAAATTAAAATTGGAGAAAATGTGTTCATTCAATTAGTGCCAGGAGTATAGAGCATTTGTTCATACTAATCCCAGGTTCGATTTCCAGCATCACTAAAAAATTTTTAAAGTAAGAATTGACTTAAATTACTCTGCTGCTTTTCTTCTCAAAGTAGCTTGCTCTTTCTTCTCAAAGTAGCTTGCTCTTTATACTACTTGCTCATTCCTGTTTAGATACTACTAGAACTATACCTAAATATCATGCACAATTGTCTTCTACTATTTTATTTTGTTGCAAAAGATTCGATTGGGGGAGAATACTTGTCTAGCATGAACATGGGCATTTTCAGAATCAAAGGATGGTGGTACACCTTTCATTTCAGTACTAGGGAAGCAGATCTCTGTCAGTTCAGTGCTAGTTTGATCTATAGATCGAGTTCCAGGACAGCCAGGGTTACACAAAAAACCCTGTCTCAAAAACAACAAAAAAGTAGCAAATAATTCTTGCGTTGTTATTTATTTTAATTAGCATGGACAGGAGATAAATTTACTATGGTAGAATAAAAAATAACCAGTAAGGTATTAGTATACTAAGATAACCATTGACAGGTTCTATAAGTGATAGTTATATTCAGCGATATTCAGAATTGGTTCAGAAACTTAGAAAATTGTTTTTTAATAACTTCCTTAAGAGCTATAAAAAACAAACCAAAAAAACCTTTTTACATTGGAATTTGAGTTGTATACCCAAGCACCACTTACTGATTTATTACCCGTATTACTTCTCATTTGTCTCTATGGTTGGTTGTAATCTTTAGCCTCTACTAGATCCCAGAACCCTGTTTCTCATGTAGTTGCTCTAATAGGGGCTATAGTGTAGTTCACATCTAGATTTTAGCTTTTCCAGGCTATAAGGTCTTCTCTGTCCTGGTGTTTACACACTCACTGTCAAATGCTAACTGTTTTGTATAGATTTCAATATTGAAACTGCTAATATTGGTAATTGGTAAGTTTCTTAGCTGGTTAAATAATTCTGAATCTAAGTAAAAGTGATGTGTTCTTTTAAAGTGATAGACAAGGGTTAGGCATGGTGGCAAACATGTTTAATCCCAGTTCTTGGGAGACAGAAGAAGCAAGTAGATCTCTGAGGCTGGTCTGATCTACATTAGCGACTGCAGAGAGACCTTATCTTGGGGGAGGGGGGAGTTGATAAACCTGGGCTAGAAATATGGCTTAGCCAAAGTGCTTGCTGTCCAAGAAAGAGTTCAGTCCTCAGACCTCTTATAAATGGCTGAGTAGGATATGATGATCTGCTTGCAATTCCAGCCTGAAAAGGTTGAGTCGAGATCCACAGAGCAAGCCTACTAGTATTCTTTATCTGAAAGCTCTGGATTTGAGAGATTCCTGCCACAGAGGTGGAAGAGCTTTTGAGGAAGATTCTCAGCATCAACTTAGTTCTCCATGGGCATGTACACCATGGAATACATGTACACAGGAGAAGAATGAGGGGGGTGATGGACAAATATTTTTAATAACTGTCTTTTTTGTTTTGTTCACAAAGTTCTTTCCATCCTAATGTTTCCTTCTATGTCCCCCCACCACCACCTGTGTTCTGTCTCTCTTTCACTGCAGGAGTGGCAGAGAAAACACAGCTGCTCAAACTGAGTGTACCTGCTACCTTTATGCTTGTGTCCTTAGATGAAGGTCCTGGTCCTCCAATTAAATATCAGTATGCTGAATTAGGCAAATTATACTCAGTAGTGTCACAGCTCATCCGCTGTTGCAATGTCTCTTCAAGAATGCAGTCTTCGATCAATGGTAATCTATTCTTGGCAATAGTTTTGAGTACTCTGGGTCATATCTAGAACTAGATTAAATATGGTTCTGAAGATACTTAAATACAAAGTAAGGGTGTGAATGAAGGTCCACTATTGCAACATTTTACAATGTTTGCAGTCCTGTTCCTTTTTCACATGATTAGTGGACCTTTTTCTGCTTGCTACTGGGTTAAATAAGTAACGTTTTTATGTTAGGATACCTGTCATTATAACACACAGTATTACTTTTCTTTGTTATACTTAGAAAACTTGACATACAGCTCCTTTTTTTCCTAAAACGCATTCATAGACTATGTTCTGAGAAGTTTACATTGTTATTGTGGAGAAGCTTATTGATTGTTCATTGACAAATCTGTATTGTAGGTAATCCTTCTCTTCCAAATCCTTTTGGTGATCCTAATTTATCACAACCTATAATGCCAATTCAACAAAATGTGGTAGACATTTTATTTGTGAGAACAAGTTATGTGAAGAAAATTATTGAAGACTGCAGTAACTCTGACGAGACTGTCAAATTGCTTCGCTTTTGCTGCTGGGAGAATCCTCAATTTTCATCTACTGTCCTCAGTGAACTTCTTTGGCAGGTTAAGAAAACGTAACCATTGTTAAATCTCTGTGGTTTGATTTGTTACCCATTTATACATTATTCACTGTGTCTTACCTATTTCTAGGTTGCATATTCCTATACTTATGAACTCCGGCCCTATTTGGATCTGCTTTTACAAATCTTACTGATTGAAGACTCCTGGCAGACTCACAGGTGGATACTTATTTTTTTATTATCAGGCTAATTAGACTTAGTTCCAGGTGTTACATGTAATTGAAATTGACCACCCCCACATTTAAAAAACAAAAAAAACAAAAACACCCTAGAGTTCTAGTGAATATTCAGTGTTACAGGAAAAAACTCAAGACAGAAGTGACTATCAAGTTCTCCAGTTTTTTGTTAGGTTTTTTTTTTTCTCATTGCCCAGGTTTCATACTTACTATATTAACATCATTCAACTGAATTGTTTTTTAATTAATGAAAACTAGCAATAGACTGTATACATATGAATTTATTAATAAATCCAAGGATTGTTTTAGGTTTAGATTATATTAGTTTTAGAACTAACCTCACAACATAATCTGTACTTTATTTAATGATAGTTCTTAGGTGAACAGAGCATAGAGACAATGCTTTTAATTCCGGTACTTGGGAGTTAGGTAGTCAGATCTCTGGAGTTTGAGGCCAGCCAGGGCTGCACCAAGACCTCCTTTCAAAGTGACTTAGCTGAATTTGATCCCATGTGGTTGAAGGAGTAAAACAGTTCCCTCCAGCTGTGGTGCACACGTACATGCACGCACACACGCGCACACACACACGAATAGTTTTGTGGTGATGGGCTTTGTTGGTTGGAGCAGGGTTTGGGGTTTTAGTGATTTTATTTTTTAGTATCTTAATAAATATATACTGCTAACTCATTAACATTGAACTTAACAGCCAGCACTCTTACACCTCTAACCTAATGTGAGCTTCTCTAGTCCACACTTTCTGTAAGATAACACTAGACAGTACTTCAGTGCTATACATGAAGGCCAATTATAACAACAAAAGAGGACACTTGTTCATAGTTTGAAACTGAAATAAGACAAAGTTACTTTATTCAACCTCTGGTAGGAAAGTGTGAGTTCTGGGCAACTTGAATTATTTGCTATTTTGTACATGGTCACAGACAGCTACCAAAGCACATTAAGTACTTATTTTTGTTGTTTTGGGTTTCTTGTTTGTTTGTTTTATGTTGGATATACAAGGTTTCACTGTGTATCCAAAGATGTGCTGCAACTCACTCTAGACCATACAAGCCTCACAGAGATCTGGCTGTATCTGCCTCTCAAGTGCTGGGATTAAAGAGTTTTTAAGTACTGATTTTTAAGATTATTCATTCTAGGGGTTGTAGAGGAGACTCAGCCATTAAAATACTTGTTCTTGTAGATGACCAGGCTTGATTCCCCAACACTCACATAGTGGCTTAAAACCCTCTATAACTCCAGTTCTCTGGGATCTGGCACCCTCCTGGCTCCTAAAGCACCCACCAGGCATATATGTGGTACATATATGTACATGCAGGAAAAACACTTCTACGTATAAAGGAGTAGAAATATTTTTAAATACGAATGTTTAGAATGGATTACAAATGCCAGAATTTATCAATTTGCATGAAATTACCTTTTTTTTCATTGTTTCAGATTAGTTATAAAAATAGCCATAAGAAAAAAATCACTTTTCTTGAATCCAAAATGTTCTGTCACCATTGATACTTCTGAGATGATTTTAGTACAGTCTAGCTTCTAGTATTTTTCTTTTAAAAATAGCATAAAATTGTATAGCTTTTAGAGTGTGGTAGCATATATAGACCTTTAGTCATACTGCTCCAAGACAGAGGCAGGCAGATCCATGTGAGTTCCAAGCCAGTCAAGGCTATGTAGCAAGACCATAGATATATCTAAGTTCTCTTTTAGCATATGATGTGATGAAAACATAGGTTGGATTAAATGTGAGCAATAACTCAAATAGTCAGTAAAAACTCGTGATTAACCTAAGTTTGAAAATAATCATAGTATGGTGCTTTTTTTGTTGTTTTTTTTTAGTTTGGTAAGTAGGTCTTAAAATTAACTATTTATGATGTCCTCTATGTATCTTGCATTGTTAGACATGAGAAGGCAACACAAAGATAGTGCTGATTAAAGATAGCATTTAGAAAACTATTGGCATTAGTGGGAAAAAAGTATATGGCAAAGTAATGTTTTAACACTTTATCTCAATTGACAAAAAAATAAATAAAGGTAAAGTTGGGGTGGCTTAGTGGCAAAACACTTACCTAAAATGGGTTAGGCCAGCCCTCAGACTCTACACTGCTGCCTCCAACACAAAATGGAGAAGTAAGAGTTTATATGCAGTATCTTAGATCAAACAGCAAGAAGCCTACACGCATTTAGATGTTCTTGGTTGCCCCTGGCAACCATTAATCGGCTTGCTTCTAAGTTTGCCTCTTATAATCATATTACCAAAATACAACATTTAGCATTTTATGTCTAAGTGATTACAAAGATTCTTTACATACAGCATATATTGGTTCCTTTTTACTGCTCAATAATACTTAGTCTTACAGGTATATGTCATATTTTGTCTATTCGCAGGTAATGTCTAACAAAATAGACACTGGGCATGGTGGCATAAGCATGTGATCTCAGCAGTTTGGAGGCTGAGGCAGTCATATTGAGAGGTCAGGATGATTTTGGGTTGCTTAATGAAACCCTGTCTAAAAAACAAAACACAAAAATGATTTAAAGCAAATTACTCTCAACTTCAGTGTCTGTGTTAACTTTTAAAATTTGTGTTACTCTTTGAGTCTTGAATTTGCTTCTGGTAATGTATTTAAACTTCATATTGAACACAATTTGAACAAGTAAAAAGTTAGTAAAGATACAAACTAATTGGCAACTGTATGATCCTGAGGCAAGCTGTTGTATCTATTTCCCCATCTGCTCAAAGGTTTAATAGTGCCACCTACTGTCTGTTATGAAACAACTGAACCCACAGACATTTACTGGGTGGCATGTATTAAACAGTAAATATTAGCTTCTTTTAATTTTTATAAGTTTTATCTTCCATCTGATTGTTTTTCAGAATTCATAATGCCCTTAAAGGAATTCCAGATGACCGAGATGGGCTGTTTGACACAATTCAGCGTTCTAAGAATCACTATCAAAAAAGAGCATACCAGTGTATAAAGTGTATGGTGGCCCTCTTTAGCAGTTGTCCTGTTGCTTACCAAATCCTGCAGGTAAGGGTGATATAATTATTTCATAGAAATTTAAATCGGAGTTAAAAGATCCTGTTTTGAAAGGCTAGACCTATAGCTCTGTGGTATACTGCTTACCCAGAATGTACAATTCCCCAACATGACAAAGAATAAGAAAAGAAAAATAGTAGCCGGGCGGTGGTGGCGCACACCTTTAATCCCAGCACTTGGGAGGCAGAGGCAGGCGGATTTCTGAGTTCGAGGCCAGCCTGGTCTACAGAGTGAGTTCTAGGACAGCCCGGGCTATACAGAGAAACCCTGTCTCGAAAAACCAAAAAAAGAAAAAAGAAAAAAAAAAAAGAAAAATGGCATTAAGATCCTATTTTAACCCAAGTATTGGAGTGGGTGAGATGTACATCTATAATCCCAGCATTTGAGGCTAAGGCAGGAGGACAACCACAGGTTTGACAACAACCTCAACTATATAACAATTACCAGACAGCCAGAGTTACATAGCAAGACTATTTCAAGGGGAAAAAAAAAGAATAAAACCTTCATGTTGTGATGTTATCATTTTAAGTTATCTTTGATACATTCCCAATCCTCTTAAATGTACATGATTTTATTTACTTTTGAAGGGCAATGGGGATCTTAAAAGGAAATGGACCTGGGCAGTGGAGTGGCTTGGAGATGAACTCGAAAGAAGACCATACACTGGCAATCCTCAGTACACTTACAACAATTGGTCTCCTCCAGTGCAAAGCAATGAAACATCAAATGGCTATTTCTTGGAGAGATCACATAGCGCTAGGATGACACTTGCAAAAGCTTGTGAACTCTGTCCTGAGGAGGTAAAAAAAGCCACCAGTCTACAAGAAATAGAAATGGAAGAAAGCAAAGTAATTGTTTATAGGCCACTGACTGTGTATTAATGATAGTGTTGTTTATTAAGAACGTTGCTAGACTTCTATTTGCTTTAATGTATAGTGATATATTAATGAGGATTCCTCCATCTGGAGAAATTACTGTGCTATATAACCTTAGAAATTATTTCCAGACAAACCCAAATTAGGAATTTTAAGTTGTTTTCTAAACCCTTATGTGTACGGGTGTTTTATCTGTGCACCATATTTCTGCCTGGTGCCCATTGAGGCCTGAAGAAAGGATATTGGATCTCTTGAAACTGGACTTAACAGATTGTTTTGAGCTGCCATGTAGGTGTTGGAACTTGAACTTGGGTCCTCTAGAAAACAAGAAATGATCTTTATTAAAATATAATTGCATTCACTCTGTCAGCTACTCCCACACATCTCCTTACTCTGTCTCAGATCCATGGCTTCTTTTTCTTTAAATGTTACATGAATCTGTGTGTAAATCTATATATAACAACCTGCTCAGTGTATAGAAAGTTATTTATATGTTTATAACTTTAGGTCTGACCATTTGGTATTGGATAATCAATTGTAGGACTCTTCCCTGGAGGGATATGGTTTTTCTGCTTCCAGCATCCCTTGTTTGTCTGATGTTGAAGACTCATGAAGTTTCCTCCATCCATATTAAAATATTCATTGTTTAGGCAGCCCTGTTGTTGAGACTGCTTGGATATACGTTCCCTGACATTTCTAGGCAACGTAGTTCACATTGGACTTCTTGTCCCCCCTGGCTCTTATAATCTTCTGCCCCTTCAATGTTTGGGAAGGTGTCCTGAGCCTTAGATATAGAAGTTATAATTATAGTTTTTAAGAGTTGTTACTAAGTTAACAAATTCAGCAGTAAGCTTGATGTTGCCTGCATAATTCTTTTTCTTTGAAATTAGGAACCAGATGACCAAGATGCTCCAGATGAGCATGAATCACCTCCACCAGAAGATGCTCCATTATACCCCCATTCCCCTGGATCTCAGTATCAGCAGGTAAACAGGAGTCAGATGGTGGGGTTAACCTCTACAGTGGTTCTCAACCTTAATCCTGCAAACCTTTAATATAGTTCCTTGTATTGTGACCCCCAACAATAAAATTACTTTCATTGCTACTTCATAACTGTAATTTTGTACTGCTTATGGATCATAATATAAATATGAAATAAGAAATATGCAGGATATCTTTGATACTCTTGTAAAAAGGTCATTTAACACTCCCGCACAACAAAGGTGTTGAGAACCACTGCTCTAGAACCAATTTCATGCTTGATTATAAAAGGTGGCTTTTTACCATGACTCTGGACTAACTTTGGGGGCATGACCAGAAGAATGGGTTAGGGTTAGAATGGTGTGGGGTCATGGTACAAATTTGAATTTGCCCCAGGAATATGATTCCCTTACCAAATAGGTATGCCTAGTACTAGTATAGAATGAGTAAAGCTGTCAGTATAAAATGATAATCATTGCTTAGTGTGAAGGATTATGATGACGTTTCTTGTTAGAATAAGTCTGCAAGTAAATTCTAAAAACAACTAAGGTATGGCAGTGAAGTAATGTTGCTTAATTAGACTGGGATTTCATTAACAGTAAAAATTACTGAGAATTTGACATATTTGATTAATTGTCAAATTCATTACCTACAAAAACAAGGTAAAGAAATAATCTCCTGAATAGGAACTTTCTTAAAATGTAGATGTTGTGACCAAGTCAAATGTTTGGAGGGAGTGATAGTACAAATGGAAATTAGCTTTCTGGCATGGTGCAGTGTTAAGACTCTAGAGTATATGACTTGTTTTTAATCCCAGTACTTGAGAGACAGAAGTAGGCAGATCTCTTGAGTTTGAGACCAACTTGGGCTACATATTAAGACCCGTTCTTTAAAAGGGGTGGTGGTTAGGGTCAGTAGTGACACATACCTTTAGTCCCAGCACTTAGGAGGCAGAGACAATCGGATCTCTTAAATTTGAAGATATCCAGGACTACACAAAGAAACCCTGTCTTGGAAAAAAAAGAGTTGGGGGTGGGAGTGAGATCTGCTGACAGTCTGTAATCCTCTAAAGTTCCCAGGTGCTGCCATGAGAATGGCACTGAAGGTAGCCTTAGGTTTTAGAGTGTAAATGGAACCACAGGGAATAGTGTGTGGAGCCTAAAATCTTGGCCTGGCTTATAGGCATATAAGGACAACCTAACTGTGTGAGATTCTGTGTTATTGTGATGTATCTGTAATTCTACTGCTGGGAGAGGCAGGCAGAACCTAGTTGACATAGCCTATTTTTCTTTTTTTTTTTTTCCCCTCTCTCATTTTTGAGTTTTTCTTGTCTAACAACTCTCTATGTCCTGGAACTCGCTTTGTAGACAAGGCTGGCCTTGAACTCAAAAATGGGCCTGCCTCTACCTCCTTAATCCTAGGATTAAAAGTGTGCACCACCATGCCTGGCAACAGTTTCAAGGCCAGCACAAGTAGTGAATATCTTTAAAAAAAAAAAAAAGTTAGGGAACCATGACAGTAGTTATTTTGCTCAGTCCCAAGAAAGCTCATACATTAATCTAGCCTTGTGATTTCAGTGACAATAATTAACATTAATAGTTCTGTCTACATAGCAATTACACATATGGTCAGTCAGGTTTACACTATGAGAAAGAGTTCATGTAGGTTAGCCCTCACATCATTCTTTGTGATTAGTAAGTCAAGAATAGTAATGGGGCATTTTAATTTGTCAGGCTTACACCTAAATTTTTGGAGCTGGGCTGGCAAAATTGGTCAGTGGGTAAAGGCACTTGCTATGCAAGCCCCACCCACCTGAGTTCAGACCCTAGGATCATTATGGTAGAAGAAGAAACACCTCTTCAAGCAATCACTTTGGACAAAGATTTATACATACCTAGCCAGTCATGTGTTCTTTAGGGTTCCAAGGTTTATATTTACCTATAAGATTTTTCTCTTTTCAATTGATGTTGTAAGTCCTAAGAGTAAAAGAAATGTTTCTGTTTCCACCAATTTTTATTTTTTTATTATTATTTTTGTTTTGTTTTGTTTTTTTCGAGACAGGGTTTCTCTCTGTGTAGCCCTGGCTGTCCTTGAACTCACTCTGTAGACCAGGCTGGCCTCGAACTCAGAAATCCGCCTGCCTCTGCCTCCCAAGTGCTGGGATTAAAGGTGTGCGCCACCACCGCCTGGCTATGTTTCCACCAATTTTAACTCATGAGTTTAAAATGTGCTTACTGCTCCAAAGGTTGAGGTTTTTTCTGTATTTATTTTGCCATGTTTAGTTATATATTGTGCACTTATGCGAGTATCAGACTCGGGTGTCAGATCCTCCTTATACCTAGAGTTATGCCAATTTAAGCCACCTGGTATGGGTGCTAGGAACCCATCTGTGGTTCCCTGTCTGTCCAGTACATAATCTTACCTTTGATTCATTTCTCCAGCCCTGGAAAATTTGTAATGCACAGATTTCACTTCCCTTTCAGAATAACCATGTGCATGGACAGCCATATACAGGCCCAGCAGCACATCACATGAACAACCCTCAGAGAACTGGCCAACGAGCACAAGAAAATTATGAAGGCGGTGAAGAAGTGTCCCCACCTCAGACCAAGGATCAGTGAAATGCACATATTAACTGGTTCCATCAAGACTGTGCGTGCACCCAGGCCTTACAGTCCAACTTTTTTCTGTGTCTGGCTAATACTTCAAACTAGAAAAACTATTCCTAATCAACATGGAGTGGAGAGTTTATTCACTGTCTTATCTGCAGAAATTTGCTGTCAATATATAACCCGCCTGCAGTGGAAAGTGTATAGTGTTTTGTAATAAATGGCCTGATGCTAATGTGTAAATGGCAAAGGTGTATATAGTATATTAATGTTTGACTTGTAATTCTTAAGCAAGAAACTTTTTTTCCTTGATGAGACTCACAGATCTACAAAACTACATTCATTTTCTTGTTATACCCACTGCTCTCTGCAGCCAGTGTTGCCTACCTTGTGGCAGTTGAATCACCTCCTTTACAAAAACAGAGTAAACAAACATCAACAAAACAGCCCATTCATGTCACACCAATAGTTTCGTGTTCATTGTTTGCCACTGGAGTCAATTTTACTATGAGCAATGTAAGGCTAACTACCTTTTGATTTATTTGGTTGATGTGGAAAATTGGTGATGTACTATGTTTCTAGTCTTTTTCATTGCCTTTTTATTCAGACGTTAGGTTAATCACTTTGAAGCTATAGATATGCTGTAACATTTAGCATGGCTTCACACAAGTTAGTGTAGCCAATGAAGAAATATTACCATAATGACTGCAGTTGTCCTGACATGGCATCTGCATTGCTCGGAGCTTTTCTTCTTAAACCCTAGATTATAAAATACAGACTGAGGGAGAACTGTGGCAAGCAGGCAGTTCTCAATTACACTTGCATTCTTCTCATGTTTGACAGTGTGATCTCTGGGTAGAATAAAGAACACTTAAACTTACCAACTTGGTAATGGGAATTTTGAAAGATTTAAAACAAATACACAAAAATTTGCTTCACCAGGATGCTGGCTGGAGCCTAGTAGTCTGTATTTGGTGTGCTTGTTTCGTTCTCTGCTAGAGCTTACTAAGTGACTCTTTTCAAACTGTCCTTCTGCTGCAGAAGTCCTCAGAATCCCACAATCTTTGGGGTACCTCTGCACCAAGGTCTCTGGTTGATTCTCTGCTCAGTCAATTTTACTTGAAAGCAAAAATTGTCCTAGCTCCTTTTCCATTATTCCAAAAATTTTAACATTCAAAGCAGGGTCTAATTTTAAAAATTACTGGTAGTTAATATAATTGAGGAATTAAATTTTAGAATAAACAATTTGAATAAAGATAAAGGAATCAGTTAAAACTGTATTTCAGAGAAAATTGGTGACTTGAATATGTGTAATTTTTTTGGAACCTGTCTAAAACCAAATACCCCTGCAAACAGATACAGCCTACGCTATTTAAATATTTTGCTGTTTTATTTTATAGAAATTATTTTGCTGAATTTGCAAATAGAATTTGATTTAAGAATAACTTTTTGTCCTGTGGTGTGTTTGGGGGTTTTGGTATTTTGTGTCTGTCTGTCTGTCTCTCTTTCCCCCCCTCTCCCTCCCTCCCTCTCTCCCTCCCTGTCTGTCTCTGTGTCTCTGTCTCTGTCTCTCTCTCTCTCTCTCTCTCTCTCTCTCTCAGGACTGCATATTTCAGAAAGCTAATTTCTGTGCATAGCATGTGTAGACATAACCTGCAGTGAAGATTTTAGTCTCAGTATGTTTTTGTGCACAGAAAGATGGGGTCTTTGGCTCTTTACTAAAGACTTGGAGAACAGGATGTTGACGCTGTAAAAGTTCCCTAACAATCAATCTTGTACTTTTTGTATGTTTTTATATACATGTGTATTTAATGAGCACAAGCTTGGTTGTATTTTTTACGATTCAGTTGATAGGAAAATGTTGAAAGGCTATAGTTGGCATTGATCAAAGCAGAAGCAAAATTGAACATTATGTTATTTTGTGATTTAAAAGGGGCAGTATTTAAGATAAAGGTTTAGGTATCTTATTTGCAGTATTCCACAATTCTGCTTCTAGGCTTCCTGTAATTTTTTTTAGCAACTTTTGACACCAGATAGATTCTGTTTACATCAGAATTTGCTTTTGTTTCGGTTTTTGGAGCCTGGAGATCCAGGGCCTGAAGTACTCCAGGCAAGTGCTCCTACCACTGAGCTGCACCTCCAGCCTGAATTGAAGTTTGAGCAAAGGTTGTACAGTGTTTGCAATTCCAACTGGAAATTTTTAAAAGTTCTTCAAGTAGTGAAATAGGTTAGCTTTGTTTGGACGAGTAACTGGTACTAGTTACGTTATCTTACCATCTGACATGTGACTTTGGTATTTTCTGCTTCTTAAGGAAATTATGAAATACGCAAAACTTAGTGACTTTAGATAAGAGAGAAAACTTGACATTTTCAAAGGCTGTGAATTTTTCTTGGAGGGATTCTATCCCCCCACCCCCGGTAGTTGCTTTGAGTGTATAAGCCCACCAGTTCCAGATGAGCGCTTATGAGTCATGGTTCCCTTCATTTGAGGAAGAGTGGGGCTGTGTCATGACCAGGAATGAGGGAAGGTGAACAGAGTTATTTTTGTTTGTTTGTGCAAATTATTTTCTATATTAACTCTTTAAGCATTAATGTATTACCAGAAATTTTAAGATGCATGTTATTGTAAGAGCAACATAGTGGTGATTTTGAGGTCTTTCTCTAAAACATAAGTGGCACATTTTAAATTTGAAGTCTTAAAGTGCCTAAAAGTTATTTGATTCTTTCAACTGATTTCTTTTGAGCCCTATGTTTTCTCCTCTAAATGTTTGTTGCAGTCTTCGTTTGAAGAACTCCCACATTTCTAAATGGCATGATTACTCTATTGAAGACAGTAGAATCTATTACCGTAAGACTGAAGAGATTTTATTGTGCAACTGTGTAAACTGGGGCTTTGCCCAGTCGGATCTAAGTATTTTTGTGTACAACTTCGTAAACACCATATTGCTGCTGTTTCTAAGCCCTCCACCTACCGAATTCTCATGTTCAGCATTGCAGAGGCAGAAATACAAGCATAATCCTATATGGGCTTTGTTTCTTTTTATTTATCTCCGTGATGATTTCCCAGCTTTTTTTTTTTTTGTCAGCTATAATTATACAGACCTAGAATTATTCAAATGTTTTCTATTTTCATGATTAACTTTTATTAGTGGACAATAACAACTTAAGTCTTTAATCCTCATATTGGTTAAAAAGATGAGGAGCCTTTTTTATTTGAATTACTTTTGTAAAGGAAAGCAACAGTCTGAATATTCAGGTGACTACTTTGGCATAGTTCTTCAGGTTTTTATTAGTATTTTTCCAGGTTATGTTTTCCCATTAACTATTTTACTTTTTTGTGGTTAATTTGGTGGATATATCCTGCCTTATTTAGAATTTTAGAAAATTGCCTTTTTGTGAAAAGTGCCCAGTTTTTATTTCTAGTTTGAAGGTACGAGGACATACAGCTGCTGATAAAGGAAAACAGCACCCCTTTGCCCCAGCTTCTGTGTTACCAACAGAACCATTCTCAGTACTGGTTTCATTGTAGGGGCCAGCCAGAATTGGTCCTACACCTACATGAGTGTTGCATATTTGAAAAGGGTTTGGGTGTGATAAAAATCACTACAGAAGTGCTGAATGTATTAAGAACTCGCTGCCGATTGTATTTCTAACGATTATTTTGTGTTTGCAGAAGTATGTAGCACTTGTCCTCCAAGCTTACCAGTGTGAGGGGGAAAGGTGAACCACATTTTAAAGTCACTAATGAGTGTGATTTTTTTTTTTTTTTAGAATTGGGATTCTCAAAAGGAAATTTCACCACCCAAATCCCACATACTTCTTAGCCTTTTACAAGCCAACAGACTGACATAAAGATTGTCCGCAGTTCGTAAGATCTAGCACATATACAAAAATAAAACTTTATAAATTAAATTTGGGTTTTTCTTTCATTTATTAACGTAGGGTTTCTCCCTGTATTGCTAGGTGACATGCAAGGCATCAAATGTATATAGGCATGTGCCGTATCACCCAGCCACATTTGGCCCTTTAAATTTTTTAAGGGAGATGTTTATAGTAGGTCATTTATAGATACAGCATGTGTTATATCTAAGCAGCTCAACATTGGTTCTTAATTTTAAATCTGAAAAGTCCCCTGTTTTGAGGGGTTGTTAGTGTGGAAATTCAGTCTAACGTCATCTGAAATGCTGAAATTCCTTTTCATTGTCTGAAAAAAGTACAGTTGGCTTCTGCAGCGATGCCTGTTGATGTTTCCCTAAGGGTTACTGCTAAAGAAAGGTATCCCAAATATTCCTTACATTTGATTTTACTGAAACACTGCCTACCTCTAGCTCAAGCTGGTCTGGAATTCACTGTGACCCAGGGTGACCTCAGCCTCCCAAGCGCCAGGTTTACAGCTGAGTTTCTAGTTCATCCTTCCTGCCCCACTTTTTTTTTTTATTTTAAGCAGAATCAGGGCAAAGTATAGTAGTACATGCCTATGAACCTACCACTTAGGAGGATCAGGAGTACTTAAATTTGGGCTAAAGGCCCTATCTCAAAACTCTTAACCAAATCAAATCCAAAATTCTTGCCTTTTAGAAAACTAGTTGGCCCATTTGTTTAAATTTTAAGAACCAATTGAGTATCCCTTAGCTAAGTATGTGGGACAAAAAGTGCTCAAAATCAGGAACCTAGGGAGTTGCATATATGGGAATTGTGAATGAGCCCCTAATGTGAACACAAATCATGTGGCATGCACAATCTGAGAGTAGTTCCATGTTGTGATGGTCCCTTGTGTTTGACTTTGAGGTATTTTGGGTTGATTTTTGTTTTTTTCAAGGCAGAGTTCGTCTGTGTAGCCCTTGACTGTACTGGAACTCTTTTTGTAGAACAGGCTGGCCTTGAATTCAGAAATCTGCCTGCCTTTGTCTCCTAAATGATGGGATTAAAAGCGTGCCACTACCACCTGGCTGGGTTTCTGTGGTTTTGTTTTTGTTAGTGTGCAGTGCCAGGCATGGAACCAAGGGTCTTCCACATACTAGGCAAGCTAGCACTCTTATCACTAAACCATTGTAAGCCTAGAAATGTAACCTTTACAAAACATTCCCTTTGTATGAAATTTCGAGAATCATTTCAGCCGAGGTACAATTGTGCTTAACTGCTCCTTGATGGTTCAGAACATACTGTCTCACCAATCAGAGATACCAGTGAGGAGGCCCAGAGAAGAGGAGAAACTAAATTCATAAAGGTACAGAATTGCAGGCTGGGAAAATGGCTTGGTCAATGCAATGCTGCCAGTAAGCATTAGGACCTGAGCTCAATTGCAGAACCTACAAAAAAAAAAAAAATGTATGAGTCCCCCACACTTGTAATCCCAGCACTAGGGAAGTAGAAGTATTCTGGGGCTCCCCAGTTTGTCAGCCAGAGATGGTAGAACCCTGCATGTTGCTACATACTTTTTAATTCTAGCACTCAAGAAGCAGAAGTAGGTGGAGCTCTATGATGTTGAGACCAGTGTGGTCTACAAAATGAGTCCCAGAAAAGCCAGAACTATGTAACAGACTCTCATAAAACAAAGATGGTGTCTATTACAGTATATAATGGGGAAAGGGGTGCATGCATGCCACTGTAATGGCCTCATGGAGGTCAGAGAACAACTGGAACTTTGGAAGTGGGTTCTCTCCTTTTCATCCCATCTCACCAAGTCAGAGATACTAGTGAGGAGGGGTCTTAGGAACTGAACTCAAGTTGTCAGACTTGGCAGCAAATGCTTTTTTATGCTCTGAGCCATCTTGCTGGCACCATTTAAGTGTTAAAGTGCAGAATGGACTAAAAGAAAGCTGGTTGATAAAGTTATAAGTACACATACAAAGAACAAATGTCACCTGAATACCCACTAAATACTGAGGGCCTGACATGAAGTTAGTTTAAAACAGTTAAAGCTGCAAAGATGGCTCAAGTTGAAACATCTGCTCTTCTTGCAGAGGACCCTAGTTTGGTTTCCAAGGCCACTTGGTTGTAGTCAGGTTATTTTCACCCAAGAAAAGAAAACCCAGATGAGCTCTATGAATCTCAGATTTTTATTGAGCCCCATAGACGCAGCCAGGCCATGCACTTTGTTTCGAGACAGGGTTTCTCTGTGTAGCCCTGGCTGTCCTGGAACTCTGTAGATCAGGCTGGCCTCAAACTCAGAAAACCACCTAGCAAAGGTTTTATAAAAGTAAAAACCACAGGTTTGGTAGTCCTGTTGATATAGTTTCAATAGCTGTTAGCAAGCATGACAGGATATGAACTTTTCATAAGAATAGGACACAGTTTAACCATAGTGTTTCTGTTTGATCAGGAGCAGAAAGCCTTATAGTTTACACAAGCAAAATAATACAGGTTAGCAAAAGTTTCTGTAAGGGCCATACATACATGAGGGTCAGACTGGCTTCAGGTTTACCCCGAAGTCCAGCCAGGATGTAGCAAATACATTTTTCCCATGTCATGGAACCATTCATTCATAGCTCCATGGGCACCAGGCACATAATATGGTACATACACATTCATGCAGGCAAAATACTCATAAGTATTTTTCAAAAGTTAAAGGCCAAAGAGATGACTTAGCAGGTAAAAGTGCTTGCTACCAAATCTAGAAACCTGAGTTCTGTCCCCAGGACCCACAAAATGAGAGAACCAACTCACCCCAACAAGTTGTCATCTGACCTCACATGTTTCCACACACATACAAATAAAGTGTGAGTGATTCATTGTTTTGTTTTGTTTTGTTTTAAGTGAGTCTTAATATATAGAGTTTATTGTTTGTTTGTTTGTTTGTTTGTTTGTTTTTGAGACAGGGTTTCTCTGTAGCCCTGGCTACCCAGGGACTCACTCTGTAGACCTGGCTGGCCTCAAACTCAGAGGTCTGCCTGCCTCTGCCTCCCAAGTGCTAGGATTAAAGGCGTGCACCACCACTGCCTAGCAACATACCTCTGAGTTTATAGTCCTAGCACTTGGGAGGGAAACAAGAATCCCTGGATTTTCTGGACAGCCAATCTAGCAACCTGTTGTTATCTGCAACTTTGAGACTACAGAGGAATAGGCTTGCAGATGGAATCTTCTAACCCAAGGGCTCCCTTTTCAGACCCTTGTGCCTAGGTGTACAGTCTCCACTCCAGTGGAGAGACATCTTTTTCATTGCTCTGATTAAAGGATAATATGTGTCTGTAGAGGTCAGGTTCCTCTTTATTTGCTTGTGGTCACACTGACCAATCCCAGTCTTTTTTTTTTTTAAAGACTTATTTATTTTACGTATATGAGTACACTGTAGCTGTTTTCAGACACACCAGAAGAGGGCATCGGATCCCATTACAGATGGTTGTGAGCCACCATTTGGTTTCTGGGAATTGAACTCAGGACCTCTGGAAGAGCAGTCAGTGCTCTTAACCTCTGAGCCATCTCTCCAGCCTGAGCAACCCCAGTCTAACAGCACTTGAGCTCTCCTGCCCAGTGGAGCAATGCCTCTATGGAGAGTATTGGCTTATGCCTGCTTCTTAGGTCTGTTCACCTCAGAATGTGTCTCCCAGAATAAAATGCAAAGATGGGTTTATTCATGTTAATTGACAGCCTCCTCATTAGTCATAAGGACTGGTCTCTTCCTCCATCCCTTTCTCTGTGTAGCCCTGGCTAATCCAGAAACTCACTCTGTAGACCAGACTGGCCTTGAATTCAGAGATCTGCTTGCCTTCCAAGTGCTGGGATTAAAGTTGGTCACCACCACCTATGGGCTTGAGGACTGGGCTTTCTGTTTGGTTGTGTTGGTGAGGTAATGTTTCGTGTCACTTGGGGTGCTCTTAAGCTTCTGTTCCTCCTGCCTGCTCCCCTCTTCAGTGCAGAGATGAGAGGCTTGTGTCTGAAGATCCATCACAGTGAAGCAGACAATGAGTCCATAACCCCAACAACAGGGAGGCGGTGACAGGTAGATCCCAGAAGCTCCTGGATCAACCAGTCTAGCCAATCGATGAACTCAGGGTCCCAGGTAGATGCTGTCAGAGTAAGGTGGAGAGGCTGCAGAGAGGGCTCAGCTGAAGCCCTTGTTACTTTTGCAGGCCCCAGCACCAACATGGAAAGGCCAACAAATATGTGAACTCCAGCTCCAGATCTGGCTTCTGCAGGCACTCGTGCTTGCATACACACACACACACACACACACACACACACACACACACACACACACATATGGAGGCACACAAAACCATATATGTTAGTTCCAAATCAATTTTCAAAAGTAGACTGGGGGTTATTGTGGGACTATGATGGCCCAGGGACACGGAGGAAGGCTTGAGAGACAGCTTCAACCCCAGAAACCTCAGAGACAGGACAGCAGCAGTTGGCTATCTCCCCTCTGTAATGGGTTTGGCCTAATGCTGCTAGTATTCTGTTAATTTTTGATCCCTAAAATTGTTTGCATGAGTCCACTTGTCAGACACCGAAGGAACCAGCACCCAGTTGGTTCTGATTGGTAAATAAAGATTCCAACAACCAATAGCTGGGCAGGGCAGACAGAAGTGGGACTTGAGGATTCTCAGGCTTGGAACCGGGAGGAGAGGAAGAAGGAGATCCTCCAGGCCAGGAGAGTGTGGAGAAGAGAAGAGACACCATGTCTAAGAGTGCAGGACAGAAAAGAGGCATGGCCACCATGTGAAGGAACTAGGAGAGAGCACAACCCAGTTGGGAATCCCTCTGGGTCCAGAGCAACCAAGATGTTACATAGAATTAGTAAGTAATAACTTGGGATTAACCACGTGGAAGTTAGGCAGTGGTCCAGCTATTGAGATGATATGGGCATATCAAGATATAAAGTCTTTCATTTAGGAACATAAAACATTGAGGTGGGTAGCGAACCTGCCACCAGAATTTATTAATTAATTATTTATTTAATTCAACACCCCTTCTCCCAACCTGGCGCCAGAAAACTAGCTCTCCCACCATTAACCCTAGTAAGAATTTACTACCTTAACAGTTATCGGGACTTCACTCCTTGTTTGACCTTATAAGGTCCCTGCACCCCTACAAACCCTGAGTATGCAGATGAAGTGTCTTCCAGCATCTCTGTTCTGACCAATTGTACACAGCCACACAAACCTTGCCCCAGAGACTGTGACCATATCCCCAAGGGCACAAATCCCCTTCCCCCACCCCCACCCTCGACCCCCGTTAAACTGAACCAGTTTTCTAAAACTGTTCCCGGGCTGTGTGTGTGCTGTTTAACCAGAACACTCACAACTGACCAAGATCCTGCCGGCACCCACCCAGCGCCTGGCTAACTTCCCTTTCTCCAGTGCAAAAAGGGCCTGGCTACCCAGATGGGGAAAAGCAGACACAGGATGACAGGTCATGGCACACTAGGAGAATATTTGCCTAGCATGCAGGAATCCTCCGTCCATCCCAGTACTACAAGGAAATAAACAATTATGGTGACAAGCAACAGAGAAGATGGCAAATTTGGGTTGCCTGGTTCATTGAATGGTTGATACAACCCTGGTGGTTTGTTATATTGTTACCTTTTTTAATTTCTTAACTTGCCTTTACTTCTGTTGCTAAGTTGTTTTGTTTTGTTTTGTTTTGTTTTGTTTGCTTGCTTGCTACAATTTTATGTTGTATACTAAGCTGACCTCAAACTCACAGCGTTTCATTTGCTTCAGCCTTCTAAAGTGCTGTAGTTAAAAGCATGAGCCAATATTTACTTTTTTGTTTTTTGAGGTCGGGTCTCACTATTTAGCCTTGATCTCACTATTTAGCCTAGTCACTACATAGTCTAATAATTCCTGGGCATTAGCCTACCCTATTGGGCAAATTTCCTGCAGAATAACATAAAGATGAACTTTCATGAATTAATGCTGTTTTGTTGAATTAATGATTTTATAGAATTCCTTATTTGATTCAAATAATTTTAGGAAAAAAGGTTTTTTTTGGTTTTTTTT